ATTTTTAATGAATTTTTTTTATTATTATTGAAAGTTTTCTTCTTTTTTGGTGTGAGAAAAAAATGTAATTGAAAAAGTCATTGAAATCGATAATATTGATGGTGCTTAAGTGCCACTTGCAACAAGTTGATGCTTATTTCACATAAAAAAAAACTAAAAAATGTAAACCGCCACTATTGCGGTAAAATCAATGATGATGATGACGCTGATATTTTTGAAAAAAATACAATTCAATAAAAAAAAATCGATTAACTTTAAGCGTCCCATTGATGTGAGTGAATTTAATTTTACTATTTAATTAAAAACTACAACACAGTTTGATGTTTGCGAAAATAATTGAAATTAAATTGCAGCTGAAATGTTAAACGAATGATTTGGTTGCTTGTAATCAAAATGCCTGCAAGCAGAGACAATTTTCAATTGCAACACATTGCAATCATCATCATGCCACGCACATTTTAGTCAGCAACACAGATGATTAGTATCGACAAAGATTTTGACAGCACATACTTTTAGGCGTTTTAGCAATGTTTTGAAATAATTTAAAAAATTATTATAATGAAAGTTTTACACCCTTTTGTAATTTTCAATTTATTAAAAAAATTCCACATAAATCATATTCAAAGTTATGTATTTCAAACTAAATTCAAACAGCAATCCCTTTTATGTGCTTTAAAACGAATCAATAAATTGCATAAACGATTCTAAGAAACGATAACATTAATTTGCATTTAAATAAATGCAAATCTGTTGAGAAAAAAATTATGTACACATTATGAAACAATGAAAAAAAGAAGTATTAAAAACGATTATAGCTTAAAGGAAATTCATTTAATTCAACGCAAATCATTATTGCGTTTGCATTTAATTGAATTTTATTATATTTTTATTTTATTTTTGCGTTTCCATAAGAAACGATTTTTTTATTGTAACAACTTGAGCAGTCTTCCTACACTCTTCCTTAAGTTTCCTTTTTCCCTTCTAGGGCAAATGTGTGGCAGCTACAGCACATTGTAATAAATGAATGAAAAAAATGCAAATTGTGATTGCCACAGGACAAACAATAACACAACAATCAAATTCAATTTTTCTATTTTTTTTTCTTTTTCTTGAGCCTGTAATTGCAGAAAAAAGTTTTATTGAAAGAAAAAATAAATAAATAAATAAAAAGTAAAACGCTGATTCAAGTTGTTTTGAAGGAAAATGTGATGATAAGTATTAAATTTTTGTTAATGCTATTTTATATACATATTTTTATTTTTGTACACTTAAAGTTTTTGAAGTTTAAACGAATGTTGAGATTATGTCGTTTTTATTATAAAGTGCAGCTGAAATGCTTATTCAGCCTTTTTGATTTAAATCGTCATATCTATTTAAAGAATAATTTAAAGAGGACGTCACCTAAAATGTTTCCAAAATCAAACAAATGATAAAGACATAGTAATTTCATTTAAATTTAATAAATTAAAGTTTAAAGTTTTTATTTATAGTTTTAGGCCCATTATCTCAACCTCCCGTTATCACTTAAGCGCTAGATATTCTGCCCCAATCACCAATCGACTCTCAATAATTTTACAACAAAGGTGCTTAGAAATTCACAAGGAGCAAAACAACAAGTGTTCAAAAATCACCCAAAATATTGCCCTTTTAAATATTAAATAAAAATCCATTTAAAAGTAATGACCTCAATCAACAACGACGACGGGCTTATATAAGTATATCAATTACATTAATATAAATTTAAGTAATTTATTTTGTTAATTTGTAATAAAATGCCAATACTGTCTCATTTATGTCAATCACCTTGAAACGAAACAAAATGCTAAAATCGATAATGATGTTTCACACAGTAATAATGATGCTATAGAAATGCGATTGTGCTAAAGCGATGACAACATTAATAATGTCCATTTGACAAATGTTTGTAGGTTGCTACTTTATCCCGTTAATATTTCTTATGTTACAGCCCCAAAAAATATCAAAACATCGGGGTATAGGAGATTTATGGACTTGCCAAAGAGAAAAGCAAAAACAACTAAATAAAATGATGATAGTTAATTTAATGTCTTTTTTTTCTTTTTGCTGACCTTTGTCAGGGACTAGAATAATTAAAAGTTCTATGGTCTTTTTATATGTTCTTTTCTCAATAGTACAAATCAAACAAATATTTATTAAAGATTTATGATGCTGTTTAATGGACAAAATATTTGTGATATCTCTAAAAAAAAGCAGTGATGTCATGTTCGGTTAAAATATGTTATTCTACTGTTTAACCTTTATTTTGCTCTTTTGGGAGACATTACGGGATTTGTGTTAGTATTTATTTGCCTTTTGGATGGTCATTGTCACTGTCCTTCTCTGATTTGTTTGTTAAATTGTAACACTTATTTCGAAATGTCAATAAAGTCTTATTGATTTGTCTACTAAAACTATTTCGAATTCTGTTTTACAAAAAGATTAAAGCTACTTTCAATGCGAATGGCCTTTTCTGTAACAATCTATTAACAAAAATTTCCTTTAAATGGTTTTAATGTGGATTATTCTAATTCATTTATAATATAATTATTGTTAACTTGTCTATTGGTCTGTATTTATTTTTATTGCTTGCTCTTAAGTGTTTTCAGTTTGAATTTACATTTACTTATTGAATATTTATTTAAATTTAAATTATAGAATTTGTAAGTAGATATGTAAATAACATGAAATTTAGTTTTATGATTTTTAGATAACATTTACATGTTTCCAAAAAATAAGGGAAAATTCATCATGGTATTGGATATCTTAATTTTTGATTGAATGATTGGAGAAATGACGAACATTTTCAGTTCTAGTTCAGTTCTAGTTCAGTCTAGTTCAGTTCTAGTTCAGTTCTAGTTTCAGTTCTAGTTCAGGTTCTAGTTCAGTTCAGTTCAGTTCTAGTTCAGTTCCTAGTTCAGTTATAGTTCGTCTAGTTCAGTTCTAGTTCAGTTCTAGTTTCAGTTTATGTTTTTCGTTCTAGTTCAGTTCTAGTCAGTCTAGTTCAGTTCTAGTTAGTCTAGTTCAGTTCTAGTAAGTTTAGTTCAGTTCTAGTTCAGTTCTAGTTCAGTTTTCTAGTTCAGTTTTAGTTCATGCTAGTTCAGTTTCTAGTTCAGTTCTAGTTCAGTTCTAGTTCAGTTCTAGTTCAGTTCTAGTTCAGTTCTAGTTCAGTTCTAGTTCAGTTCTAGTTCAGTTCTAGTTCAGTTCTAGTTCAGTTCTAGTTCAGTTCTAGTTCAGTTCTAGTTCAGTTCTAGTTCAGTTCTAGTTCAGTTCTAGTTCAGTTCTAGTTCAGTTCTAGTTCAGTTCTAGTTCAGTTCTAGTTCAGTTCTAGTTCAGTTCTAGTTCAGTTCTAGTTCAGTTCTAGTTCAGTTCTAGTTCAGTTCTAGTTCAGTTCTAGTTCAGTTCTAGTTCAGTTCTAGTTCAGTTCTAGTTCAGTTCTAGTTCAGTTCTAGTTCAGTTCTAGTTCAGTTCTAGTTCAGTTCTAGTTCAGTTCTAGTTCAGTTCTAGTTCAGTTCTAGTTCAGTTCTAGTTCAGTTCTAGTTCAGTTCTAGTTCAGTTCTAGTTCAGTTCTAGTTCAGTTCTAGTTCAGTTCTAGTTCAGTTCTAGTTCAGTTCTAGTTCAGTTCTAGTTCAGTTCTAGTTCAGTTCTAGTTCAGTTCTAGTTCAGTTCTAGTTCAGTTCTAGTTCAGTTCTAGTTCAGTTCTAGTTCAGTTCTAGTTCAGTTCTAGTTCAGTTCTAGTTCAGTTCTAGTTCAGTTCTAGTTCAGTTCTAGTTCAGTTCTAGTTCAGTTCTAGTTCAGTTCTAGTTCAGTTCAGTTCTAGTTCTAGTTTCCATTTTGTTTTCATTAATTTAATTTTGTGATTCCTTATTTACGTATAACTATGTATAAAAATGACAAAAACCAAACTTATTCCAAAGTTTATGTTAAAAGTCAGTAGAAGTTAAACGGAAATTTACAATTTAAATTAGTTTACAAACATACATACATATGTGTGTTAGTATGTATGTATTACATATCTTTTTGTTATAAATTTATGTACGTTTGAATGTAAAGCTTTTCATGAATCTTGTTTATTTTATTACAAATAAACAGAGCAAATCAATTTTCGTTCATTAAAATCAAAAATAATTTACATAAAAATAGATTTATATTATTACTTTCAATATATTGGAATAGTAAACACTGGACGGACGATTAGCAAGACAGACAAATTTCTTAAGATAATATAAGCAAAATTTCTATAGAACTCTCTGAAAGTTCAAACAAAAAAGGAACCAGTAAAGTTTAATCACTTCTAGATTGTGCTTAAGAATAAAATAAAGGAATAAAAGTATTAAGTGTTTACACAATTTGTTTAATGTCCTACGTAAGTTAGTGAATAAACAATCAAACTTACACTTGATAAAATAAACACAGACACACGCTCACCCTTTGCAACACGAAATGCAAACACAAATAAAGAAGTCTTCATTTTAAAACTGTTTAAATGGAAACCTTCAGGACATACCCCAGGATACTAACAAACACATAAACTTATACAAATACAAATCTAAAGTTTTATTTAAAAAACAAAGAGGAAAAACGGCCCTTAATTAACTTGGTGTCGTTATAAAAACAACAAAAGCAGCAACGAATGATTGATGCCCCTCAATGGCGCAAGCAGCATAAGGCAAATTAACAAATATTAACTTAGTTAAGAAAACACACTCACACACAGAAACAACAACAAAGCAAAGTAACAGAAGGCACAGATTTAAACCTACAACAAGTTATGACAAAGGAAACAAAACACCTACATAAGTAAAGGATGGGTAGGAATGTTCTATATGTTACCAGGAAAGCTTTATATAAGACTGCGACAATTAAACATTTTAAGGCATTTATAATTGCGTTAGACACAACAACGGGACAAAATTATGGTTTACAACAACACAAAAGAATTTCAATATTTAAAACCAAAAAATTCTTATCTACAAACATTTAAGACCACAACTGGTAGACCAATATATAACAATACAACAGCGCCTCCACCAACATTCCAAACAGCTATAGCAGCACAAACACAAGCAACAAAGAACAACTCCTGGTGGAACTTATTGAAGCCATATTTTAAGGAATATTGTAATATTTCTTCAATACATTGTTTTCATTATTTCACCGACAATAAATTAAAATACTATGAAAAGTACTTTTTATTGTGATATATATATTTTTGAATTAGTGTAAGTTTTTCATTTACATTTCCGTTTTCCGTTTTACAGAGCCATCTGGTTTCTCATAATGATTGCCACTAGTGTATGCTGTACAATTGTCTATTTCGATTTGGCAGAGTTGTACTACACCCAACGTATTCAGACTACAGTGGCCGATTCAGTACATCCCATTTTTGTGGTGCCCTTTCCTTCGGTAGGCATCTGTTTGAGAAATCGCATTGATTGGACGCGCTTACATAACCAAGCCGCAAAACGTTTTCTACCGCCAAATGTCGACAATGAGACATTACATACGTTTTACAGATTTTTCGAAAGTTTAAACGATGTCAAGTTTTATTATTTTTCGCGTTTTTCAAGCTTATTTGAGCCATCTGCAAAAGTTAATCTATCGCTTATTGATGGCATAAATGTTTTAGAGGTTTTGAAATACTTGACGTTTCCTTGCTCCCAAGTATTTGGCACTATTTGTTTGTGGCGTCTCAAATCCTACAATTGTTGTGAGTTATTTACTTTGGAACGCACTGAGTTGGGTTTCTGTTATGTCTTCAATTCGGCCGTTAGTTCAAAGTCTAAGGAGAAGGCGGTAAATAGTAAAAACTTGAGATTTAGAAATGTTTTTATTTAGAATTTTGATTTCGTTTGCAGAAAATCAATCCATTTTATCCCTATCACAATTCCTATTCAGGAGAAGGAACTGGTTTAGATGTGGAAGTTATACTGAATGGAAATAAAAACAAACCCAGATCTCGTACGGTTAATGGAATTTATGTAAGTATTTAGCTTTAGACCAGACACCGGGCCAAAGGAATTAATTGGTTTTCAGATACAAGATTAGTTTCAATAGTTTCGTTGAATTTAGGGTATATCGTGTTTCTGTAAAAACTAACATCCAAAACGATTGCTTTTTAAAAAATATATTTTCTTTTTATTGTATTTAACTCAAAATAAAGGTTATGATTAAACATCCTGAACAATGGCATGCAGATGTGAAATTCATAAACTACAATACTTTCACCAAATTGTCCTTAACGTCTCAGTTAACGGAAACCGATGACCGTATTAGACATATAACTCCTGTTGACAGAGGATGTTTATTTGATGTAAGTATGTATAGTTCAGATCATTCATAGACTTTTTCCTCCTCTCTTTATACTTTTCATTATCTTTCCTATTGGTTTGTAGGATGAGGATACCCATTTTTTATATAGAAAAATACCTGGTCTAGTGTATTGGCGTGGCAATTGTCGCACCAGATGTCACCAGGAATATGTGCTTAAATACTGTAAATGTAATTTGAATATACTTTTTCCTGAAGACAAATCGGGTAAGTACTTAAAATTGGTTTTATGTACAGACTATTAAAGCGTAGAAGATATACATTTTTTTTAATACTTATACATACAAGTAAAAATTTGTATGAAATCAGGGATGGATGATTGTATTTTTTAAAAAATAAATATTTATGTAAGAATTTTTATGTTAGTCAAAGTGGATACATTGATAATTATGAATCTAAAGTTGAAAATTTAATCGAATATAATATTATTGTACCTTTGATTTAGAATGTAGACATTAAACAGAAATTAAATATTTCCCTTTTTTGGGTGATAGATAAATTGACCCACCTTTCAGGGTGTGTATTACCAATATCGAGAATGTGTCAATTTCTTGTAGTACTTATGTACACACACTCTTAAACACGTATTCTAAAAATGTCATTTCAATGTTAATGCAATTTCTATCCATTTTATTTTTCATTCCTATTTGTGTGCGTTTTTTTATTATTTCTCAACTTCTGTCCTTTTACTGTTATTGCAATTCTCGTTTGGCCTGTGGATGTCTATGTGAACGAACGAATGAATGAATGTTCCTTTAGATAACTTCACCAGTTGTAAGCCATCGGATTTTAAATGTATCTATGAACATGCAAGTAAGTTGAAAGTGTAGTTAGTATAAAGTTAAGAACCTGTAACAACTTGAAAATTGACATTTTCGCATGTTTTCTTTTACATTTGCAATGAATTCAATAACGACGATGATGTTGATGCTGATACTGATGATGACAATAAATTTTATTAGATATATTTAGTAGAGAGACTCATCTATTTGAAAGCAAATACATTGATGATGTGGATAATGAAAGCATGACATGTAGCTGTTTGAATAGTTGTAAGCAATTGTTGTATCATGCTTTTTACAGCAGTTTTCCTCTAGAGGGGTAAGTTCCTCTATGTACATATCTAACTAACGTGTTTAATATTTATTTTTCATTACATGTTAATTAATTAATTTACTATAATTTTTTTCTATGATTTCCTTAGAGTTGATGCATCAGATCCCATTAAAATGGTTCATTTGGATATACATTTTCAAGCGGCATACCTTTTAAAGTATCGCACTGCCATGCGTTATACATTTGTTGAATTGTTAGGTGCGTTTGTATGTATTTTTATGACTTCAATTTAAAAATTTAGTTTTATATATGTATATTATGTGTGTGTTAATATATAACTTTTTAATTTAATTTCAGCTAATTTTGGTGGCATAATTGGTTTGTTTTTAGGCGCTTCACTTTTGAGTGCTATAGAGCTAGTTTACTATTTTACTTTGGGTTTGTATATTCGTCTCCACAAAAAATTCGCGCTAAAATATAGAAAAAAATCTTCGAATTCTCTTAAACGTCCTGTAAAGCCTAAAATGATCAAAATTTCATCCATAGAACCAAGCGGTTTATATAAATATTAATAGATTTTAGAAATTATTTAAAATGTTTGCAGTAAAATGTTCAAAAATAAATCAATGTAAATACTACTAAAAAATATCTTTAATTAACTGTTAATTCCCGACATTCGCAAAAAGGGGAGTGGCATCCATTCAAACTCTAAGTTTGATATTTGGCTTTATGTTTAACGAAAGCCAAAACCAAATGACAAACAGTTTCTCCACATGCTCTAATTAGTGGATTGAATTCTTGAATTTAAACTTGCGTAAAAATGGGCGTGTAAACCGATTAGTCATAGTCTAATAAGTCATTGACTTATCGGTGTGCGAAATTTCATGGAAATCGTTAAAGGAGTTTTGTTTTGAATTCTAATTTAGTATTTCAATTTAAATATTTGTCTGTACTATACCTCGTATCATAAGTGAGCTATTGTGTAGTCAATTGTCAATAGAAGTAAGGTGTTAATAAAACACTTATTTAACATGATTTTTTACCTCAAAACAAACAAAAAAATAGCTTTATATCACTTGGCACAAAAAATGTTACTAACATCACTAAAAAGTAATGACTACATTTCTGGTTTATTTGAACAGTTAAGAAAATTAAACTAAAATGAAATGAATTTATTACACCCTAAACCAAAATATACCCCAAGTATCAAAAATAAAGTAAATAATTGCCAATACCATTTGTTTTTAACTTAGCCCCATCATCAAGCATGACGAAAACTTTAGGAAATTGAACAGAAATAAGTATAATTTTTATTACAAATACTTTTCTTTCTATTTTCAACTAAAAACTAAACTGCAATTATTTTGAAATTAAGACACTACTGCTCTGCACTAAACAACCAACCACAAACTCACATGAACATTGTACATGTTACTGGTTAAATACAAGCTGCCACAAAAACTTTTCCAATATTCAACATTTAGTTCCTTGGGAAATTTATAGGAGAAATGATTTGGCACACGGATTTCAAAGCAAGTGTAACACACAAAAATAGTTCTTCATTGAAAAAACCACCACAACCTCCAGCACCTGTACAAACTGAGAAACCAGACCAAAAGTTGCAGCAGGAAAATAAAAAATTTAAAGATCTGCTAAAGGCATATTGGCAAAAGTACTGTGAGAAATCAACCATACATGGGGTACGCTACATTTATGATCCCACAATGCGCGGCATTGAGAGGTGAGTAAGTTGATTGAGATTAATGACCCAATTAAATTTATTTTCAATATCCTTTTACATTCACACATACATACATCAAGACTTATATGGAGTGCTTTGGTTATCACATGTGTAACGCTGGCTTGTATTGCTTATTTAATACTTGCCGAACGCTACTCTGCCCAGAAACTGCAGACGGTTGTGGAAAATTCACAATTTCCGGTATTTCAAATACCGTTTCCTGCTGTCGCTATTTGCACTCACAATCGCGTCAACTGGGAAAAATTTGAGGCGGCAAAAGCTGAATTTTTGCCACCTTCTGCCGACAAGGCGTTGGTGGAGGTGTTTACGAATTTCGTTGAACGCATGGAGACTCTTCGTTTTGGTAAATTTAATACGTTCGATGAAATGCAAGACGTTAATTTGGAGGCATTAGATAGCATTGATGTAACGAAGTTGGCGAAATTTCTGGCCATACGTTGTGAAGACATTATGGTTAATGAAACTTGTTATTGGAGGAAAATGAAATTTCAGTGCTGTTCACGGTTTATAATGGAGCGTACTGAATATGGTATGTGTCTGGTTTTTAATTCAGAATTATCAACGGAATCTGAAGTTATTCAGGTATTTTGAAATTTATAATGGAATAGAGAAAAAATCAATTTGATTTTGAGTAAAACATAATTATTTTAGAAACACTTAGGTAAACAATTTTATCCCTATCACACCTCAAGAGCTGGTCAAAATACTGGACTTAATTTTCGACTTAAAATAAATTCGAAACATAAAAGACCTGCCTCCAAAGCGGGGGATACAATTACGGTAATAAACACATTAAACAGTAAAATAGTAGGCCTCATAACTACTTTAAACACAAATCAAACAGATTCTCATCAAAAGACCCGATCAATTATCAAATACCGGTTATACTATTACCCCAGAAACGGAAACCTATTTCATAGTACGTCCCGAAGTCACCGACAGTGATGAAGACTTACATGCCATATCACCTCTGAAAAGAAATTGTTACTTTGATGATGAAAGCTTTCTGCTGAAACATAAAACCAATATGTCAAGCAAATGGATGTTAAACAATTGTTTGAATCGCTGCCACGAAGAACATGTAAGGAAATATTGCAACTGCACTTTGTCCTTATTTTTTCTATTTGCCGACGATACAGGTAAATAAAATACTTTTTGTGAAAAAAAAAATACTTTGAAAATTTCATTTCATTTAAACCATTTTTTATATCATTTCTCTTCTTAGTTGAACAATGTCGTCCCTCTCATTTCCGTTGTCTAGCCAAGAATAATGGTAAGTGCGTGTAGTTGAAAATCATCATCATCATCAATTTAAGAATTTATTGATTTTGATTTGATTCGTATTCGTAATCGAAGCAATAACATGAAAAAATCCACTTTAGATATTTTCAGTTACGATAAACGCAAGGAAGAGGATGCTTATTTTAGTGCAGCTAAACCAGGCATGACATGTTCATGTTTAATACCCTGCAACTCAGTAGAATATTTTACATCTATAACGACGTTACCTTTGAGCGATGAAATGTGAGTACAAATACAAGCAACAGTTGTTAATGTTAGAGTGTTGTTAACAGTGAAACAGTGATAAGACGAATGGAAGTAAAATTCATTTTAAAAAGGCGAGTCGATCTAGACATTCCTGTTTATTGTTTAGTCTTTTTTGTTAAAAAATTCGACATTTTTTAGAAAAGTTCTAAAAATTCTAAATTATAATTAAAAAAAAAAATCAGAACTTGAAATTTTTCAAAAATTCTAATTTTTCGATGAAAATTTGAAAATTCAGTCAGTTAGTTAGTAGTAGCTAATTAGTTAATTTGAAAGGAGCCTGTAGTAGACGGAGGAGGATGTACATCCTCCTACGTCCTCTTCAAGCCTCTACACAGAGGGAAAAGGGAATATACACGCCTGGTACCAAATTGACACCAAAGAGTTTATATGTTTTCAATAACATCCGTTGTCAAAGTATATTTTTTTTTAATTCTTAAATTTTCCAAAATTTCTATATTTTCAATAAATTTCCAAGATTTTGAAAATTATTAATACATTCAGAAATAGAATTTCAAAAATTTTATAAACTATTCAAAATTTTCAATAAATTCTTAATTTGACAAAGTTATTTCATAAAATCTAAAATTCTTCATCATATTTATGTTTCACTGTAATTTTATAAAAAAGTTTATTTTTCTTAACAAAATCTTTTCAACATTTCATGTTGTTCTTTCCTTTTTTTCTAGTACTAACGATACAAGTGTGAAAGTTTACAAAGTTGATGTTCATTATCAATCTGAGGTTCTTATACAGTATCGAACCAGTATGGAGTTTACAAGTATCGATTTGATAGGTAAAATACATATTTATTTTCCAAGCCGCTTAAAATAAAACGAAATAAAATAGAACGTGTTACCTCGTTAATGGTGTCTAAAATGTTTCAACAAAAAATTAATGTGAATAATACTTAAATTTTATAAAAAAAATCTTGTTCTAAATCATTTCTTTATTTAACCTCTTTAAATTATAACCATTTTAATTAAAAAATGTTTTCCAAAAGATTTAATTTCTTTGAACTATTTAAATTCACTTTGTTCTGTCTTTCTTTCTTGTTTTTCATTCCAGCCAATTTTGGTGGTATTTTTGGTCTATGTTTGGGTGCTTCACTTGTAAGTGCAGTTGAACTTTTATATTATGCCACATTCGGTTTCGGTTTGTATTTGTATGACAACAACTATTTTACGATTTTAAAACAAAATCTAAGAAATTTACGGCAAACATGGACAATTGGTTTTAAGAATTCCTTCAAGGATGAGTACGATGAAAGCAGTACGGGGAAAATAGCTTTCCTACCAAAACATCCACAGCACAAGAATAATCGTTGGTAATAATTTAAATGATTAAGAATAAATGCAAACTAAATATGTTTTTCTTTGAAAAACGTATTTAAAAAGAAAAATAAAAGAGAAAATTACTTTATTAGATTGAAAAATGCATGTATTTCGTGCGTTTAAGTTTATAATAAAAAGTTGAAAAATTAAATTAGAAGAAATAGTTATTTCTTTAGAAAAACTTTTTAAATTAAGGAAATCTGTTTACTAATTTTAATCACTAATAATCACCACCAGAGTGTGCTGCATACATTATGTATGTAAATTTTCTTATTTGAAATTTTATCAAAAATATCTAATCAGAATTTATGTATATATCCAGCAAATACTTTACTTACTCCTTACAATTACACAAGAAAAAATACTTATTTTTCTTCAAGATGTTCCAAAAGTAGTGTATTATTATTTGGACAAAAAAAAAAAAGCTTTAGGAACTAAATTAATTTGTTAATAAAATAAAATAAAAGTTCTCTAAAATCCGAACCAGCGATGTTGGGTTTATTAGTCTGCAGTTGTACTCATAACATTACAAAACGTTCTTATTTATAGTATATGTAGTAAGCGAAGATTTTGCTAGACAGTTTAGGTTACGTGACCCATTGTGATACCCTTAAAATTGACATTCCCTTATTTTGAGAGAATGGCTTCCCTCCCTAATTCCGTTGACTAATTGGTTCTTGAGGTCTTCTTGAAAACCTGCCGGTGCTGGTCATGGAAAAGATAGAGTAGATAGGTTATCATAGTTACATATTTCTATTTTGATTATTCTTTGAAATTAATTATTAAAATGTTATGCATAATATATTTTTCAAGTAAAAAACTACTTTTTCTTTTACCTATTTTAAGTAACATCAACAGTTAAGTAAGTAAAATTATGTATAAAAGAAACTTTTTAAATCTGTTTAAAAAAGAAAATGTCAGTTAAATGTGTACTCACAACGCTGCTTTATTCATATGCAATTGAAAATGGATAAATGTAAAGGAAATAACTAAATTTAATTTAAGTTTATAAAGCAAGAAATCCAAAATACTTCTTTAAATCAAAAGTTAAAGTTTATTAACTTAAATTTTGCAAAAAAAAAAAATATATTAAATACAGGGTTAAAGGAAAATATTTCCTTGAAAATTGTGTACACTTTTCCCAAGAATAAATTCTAAACATTTCTTCTTTTAATCATTTGTTTGCATAATTGATTTTTAAGTAAAATTTCCATTGAACTAATTAATTCAAAAAAATGTCTCTTCTAATTTTATTTCTAAGATTCAAAATTAACTTATCTAAAGAAATTTTGATAGAATTTTTAGTTATAGGAATTCAACAAATATTTAACATAAACTAACATGTCAAAACGTGAAAGGGAAGCAAATTTCTAAAAATCGGAGCGAAAATCTCAAAAATTTAATTTTTTAAAATATTGCTCTCACAACTGGGAAAATATTTTGGGGATAAATAGGTAACACATCAAGTTTTCCAAAACTGCTTTCCGTTTTTTGATCCCAACTTTGGGATTTTATTACATGATATCCAAAGTTAAAATTTTGATAAAAAAAAACTAGTAAGAGTATTATATTCGGCTATACCGAATCTTATATGTATACCCACCATCAAACCGTCTGCCGTAAAAGGAATGTTCCACTAAAATACCCTACAAAAATTTTAATATCAAAATTACGGAATTTTCGAGACCCATTTCGAAAAAATTGAAGATATTTTATTTTTTATATCGAATTTCATAGTTGTACTCGCACTTTTATGCCAGTAAATTAGTGTTAAATTATGGACCAATCCTCATAAAATACGGCAGACAGATTTTGGCCTGTTTAAATTTATTTGCGTTGATTCCCATCGTTATACTAGCATTTTAAATCCAGTAATGTGCACCGATTTTCAATACCAAACAAATATTTGTGTTATATTTAAACACTCTAGCTCTTTCCGTTCGGGCCGTATCGAATTTTCAACAGACAAACGGGATGTACATGCCTAGATCGTCTTAGAATTTAATAAGGTCCCAGAATACACATATACTTTTGTGGGTCTATCACCAATATTTCGATGTGTTATAAACACATGCCAAAAACAATATACCCCCATCTTTTTTAATGGTGGGTATAAAAATTGATGAAAATAGGAATGAGAGACATACATACATATGTCGAAGGAACTAACTTGAAAGTACCTCTTTGGCTCTATCCATTTTAAATTTTTTCTAGATTGTTCCAGCGGTTTAGAAATGCCAGATTTATTTACAGAAAATTTTGATTCTGCCCCATTATAGGAACAAAGAATAAACAAAATTTATATACTAATAAAATAAACGTTTTTGATTTCCGAATTTAGATAGAAAACTTATTTTAATCTGAATTTAATAATATTTCTATGGAACTTTGAAAATAAGTTTTACCTTGTACCTCCCATGATGGTATAGTAATTTTTACGATATATTACCAACCTTCACTAATTTCCTGTTGAAATTAATACAAGCGGAACACAAAGGAAGAATAATTTAATGGACTACTGTTGTAGTTCAAACGTGTGTGGATTTTGGTGATAATAATTTTATCAACTTGTTTTTGATAACGAAATAATTAGATATATTAGAAAAAGTTTATTCGAATATTATGGTAACTACATTTATTTGATTGAGAAAAAAAACGATAAAAAACTTTATAGTTTGAAATAAGCAGAGTAGCGCAAAGGAATTGGTCAGTGATTGACTTACTGGTTAGGCCGATATATAGCTTACAAAGGTAGAACAGAAGTATTACTTGTATTGGTTACTGGGCAATGCTTTGAATTGAATTAAATTTATTTGGTAAGAAAATTTGCTCAATATGTTGGAGAAAGATTCCCAACTAACGATTACTAATATACTAATATATCTTATATATCTAATAACAAAATATCTCCCAAGGATTCAGTAGTAACTTCCGAAAGTCGAAAGAAATTATTTTATAGGAATAATATCAACTAACGAACTAATTATACCACTCGACCAAAAGGTAGGTCAATTGATTTGCTTTAGAGTAATTAGACTAATATAAAAAGGCCAAAATGAAATACACATTTAACTATTTGTCAATTACAATTCAATGGTAAAACAACGAAGAGCAAGAAAATAAAACCAATTAAAAAAGGAAACTTTTCAGCACAAAGATCAAAAAACGCTACAGCAAATGGAATTTGAGCAAACTTACAACAACTTTAAAATGCAGGACAAATGCGAAATTATAACAACTGCAGCACCACCATCATCATCATCAACAGCAGCCTGTACAGAGACTGTTCCACCACAGCAAGAAGATATATCAACAACACCTCATTGCAACCGCTGCAAAGACAAAGGTGTGAACTATTATCTGACCAACAATAATTCTCCAAAGGCCAAGTAAGTCCCACAATCTACTCCTTGTATTGCAATTATGTGTAATACCACGACGTTGAACAAACACCATTAATGACGATTTCATTTATCACCTATTTTAATGCAAGATTGCTGCGTGTCCTTATTGTAGCCTTCGCCACCATTTGCACCATTTATGTATGTCTTTTATCCTCACAACGTTATTTCAATAGTTGGGTACAGACTGTTATTGAACGCACTGATGTTCATGTGTCCGAAATTCCCTTCCCAGCCATTACCATTTGTCCTGTGAGAGGTATAAATCTGTTGCGACTGCAGAACAAGAACGGATCATTTGATACACCATCCCTACGCACCAAAAAGGAAATGCAAGAGTTTCGCTTGTTATTGCATGCTTTCAACGATGTTTTGTGGTCACCCCTCCTGGATTACGATAATGAGTTTGATGTTTTCGATTTAAAATACAATAAGAATCATCATCACATTCAAGCCCAACGTCACGATGACCACAGAAGTTTTAAAAATGCAAAGTTTTTGGAGTATTTGTCTGCGCAGGAAGAGCCTCATCCATTTTCTTTATTTGATTTGGGCAGTTTGTTGTTTTATGTAACATTCGAATGTGAGGACGTATTTGCTGAATGCACATGGCGGAGGTCAAAAATCTCCTGTTGCAATCTATTTCGTAAAATAGAAACATATAAAGGAATTTGTTATGCCTTCAATTCAATGCATGTTCAGGTAATTAAAGTTCAAATAAGAACCAAAAGAAATTTTGGAAAAAAAAAAACTAAAAGAACTTTGTGTTTATGGTGTCTTTGGTGCAATCAGGATCCAATTCCAACATGGCCTTGGGTGGTGTCTGATTCTGGCTTACAGACAGGCCTTCGGGTTTTAATAAAACGTGGCGCTATTGCAAATTATTATGAAAAAGTAGCGGTAGGTTATTTTGTGAATGATGTAATAATATTATTTTAATGAATAAGTTGTTAACAACTTATTCTCGACGTACTATATTATACGTTCCTAATGTTTAGGTTTCAACGTTTAAAGCATTAAAAATTAATTTTAAAAACATTGGTGCATTTTTACCAGGCCATGGTGCATGATCCCAACGAAATTGGAACCTCGGATATAATTTACTTAAATAGCGAAAGTGTAGTAATCACTGTAAATCCACTACGTTTTACAGCTGATTATGACATACATTCCGTGAAACCAGAACTCAGACATTGCTACTTTACGGTAAGAAGAATTTGGATTAAAAAAACAATTTGAATAATTAATATTTAGTACCTATTTTCTAGCACGAATTAAAATTATTGGGTAAAAGTCGCTCGATATGTATGCGAAATTGTCGTTTGTTATATATCGAAAGAAATTGTAATTGTACGTATATTTTACCAATGGCTGCGAGAAGTTCAAGCGACCGAGGTTCTTTGCCAATGTGTGGGGTTTCACATTTGAAATGTATCTATAAACATCGAAGTAAGTAGCAAGGAATACCTTGATTTGACTAGATTATTATAAGATTTCAGGTTCCTCATTGTAACAATAAGAAGCGCTTGTTATACCCTACACCACTTTAATGGGGAGGGTTTATTTCATTTGTGCTGATGTTTATAACGCACAAAAATATTTGGTTATACCAATCGGCTCAGAATCATTTTCTGAATCGATTTAGCTATGTCCGTCCGTCCATGTAAACTTTGTAATCAAACTACATGTCGCATACAACCGTAGCCCCCAAATAGGGCTTTTGAACTCATAATTATGTTAAATGTTCTAGTATCTCTACTAAAATCATCAAGACTTTGTTCTATAAAAGTCTAAACTATGTTGCCGATTTTCGTAATTATAGGACATCATTTGACCCTAGCCCCATACAAAGAATTGTTTTTAAAGAACACATCGACCGACAGACAGACAGACAGAAAACGACATCGCTATCAATAAAGATTCAGAAGTTTTTTAATTGAAACGTCTATCTATCTAGTAACTATCTATCTATCTATCTATCTATCTATCTATCTATCTATCTATCTATCTATCTATCCATCTATCTATCTATCTATCTATCTATCTATCTATCTATCTATCTATCTATCTATCTATCTATCTATCTATCTATCTATCTCAGAAACTTTTTAACTACATATTTTACCCTATATACAGAAAAATAAAAAAATAAAAAAATTTTACATTTTCAGGCGCCCTGCTAACCACGGGTAACTTTTTGGGCGAAAACATAGATGATGTTGAGTTTAATACAATGGATTGCAAATGTTATCCAAACTGCAACTACATACAATACAGGACCATGGTGAATACCGACAATACAGGAGAAACACATGGTAAAAATTATATCGATCTACAGGTCCAATATCAACAAGACACATTATTTTCGTATCGTTCAACTTTATGTTTCAATTTATTGGACTTGATAGGTAACTAAAGGAACTAAACAGTTTTGAATCTATAAAATTTTAAACCTAAAAATCTGTTCTAAATATGTATGTATGTTATCTTTATATGCAGTTTCATATGGAGGCATTGCTGGTCTATTTCTGGGACTTTCACTGGTTGGCATTATTGAGCTGTTGCATGATTTCATCGTTTGCTGGAAAAGACGAAAACAAATTAAACGTCTGCAAACACATGGGCAACAATATGAGAACAAGAACAACAATAACGGCGATGACGGTGAAACTCAGAAAAGGGATGTAAATTCAACAAACTAAAATGTAAAGAAAAGAAGATAACAACAAAAAAATTCAATATTCAAAGATTTCAATTCAAACACCAACAATTGTGTAGTGATTTAGTTAAAGTGGTTTCATTTATTTAGTTTTAATTTTATTTTTTACCTGCTGCAGTTGTAAGTGGAAAATTACCAGAAAAAAGGAATAAAACTACAAAAATGAATATTTATTAAGAACAATTGAAAGTGAAAAAATATTGATTTCAGTTTAATGAACAATACAGTGGTGGAAATTTAATTACGGTAAAGATTTATTTGTAAAAAAAACTAATTTTACTATAAATTCTTCTTACTTATAACAGTATGCATATTCAAAGAAATTGTTTAACAAAGCGAAAATTTCAAAATCCTAATCCGATAAAATGTTGCGTTTGTTTGAGAAAACAGAGAAATACTGTTAAAGTAATATAATCAGTTAATTTCGGATGTTTCAGATAATTTTTGGTTTGGTTCAGTTAATTCTTAAATCCCGATTTCAGAAGGTATTACCAAATTGAAAAATCTATATAAATTCCGGAAATGTGCGTCCTGTAGGTAAGTAGTAGTGTTCTATGAGTTCGGAGGTCGTGCGATCGATTTCCAGATTCCGTGAAAAGGATGCTCCGTAGTGGTGTAGGTGTATTTCTTGTTTCGTATTAGGCCGAACATATTTCGTAATATCTAGCAAATAGATTTCTTATTTCGATTGTCAAAGAAATGTTCAGTCATCTGTAAAATCAAGGTATTAGTAGAAAATTTTAAACAATTTATACTTAATTTGAACTGCAAGTGTATGCGTTTAGCAAATTACTACGGAGTGTAATGTAAATTAGTGTTTTTATCTTATACTTAAATAAAGAGAGATAAAAAGGACTCATTTAAAAATACAAAGACCAGCAGGTAGTCCCTTCTAACAAAGCCAAAACAGGTAATGAATTTATAGTTCGAAATCACAAAGGGAATAACAGTATAAATAGTCGCACTGAGAAACACCAAACCATCAGTTCCTTTTGAGCAACAGAAATAGTGACATTAAAAAATCCAAACAAAATGAAAGTTTATGCAGCCATTTGTTTATTCTTCGCTTTGGTATGTTGTAAATTTTCAAAAATAATTAAATTATATAAAAATATTAATTATATTTGTCCCCCCCCCCTTAGACCTCAGCCGAATATGTGGTGAAAACTCGTGAGAATCTCTTACAATATCGCAATGAATGTGTTGCTGAACTTCAAATTCCCGAGGCTCAAGTGGAACAGTACAAACAATGGCAATATCCCAATGATGCCACTACCCAGTGCTACTTGAAGTGTGTCTTCTCCAAATTTGGTTTGTTCGATACCACCTCCGGTTTCAATGTCGAGAATATTCACCAACAATTATTGGGCAGTCAGGCCGAAGCCAATCATGATGATGTTCTTCATGCCAAGATTGCTTCCTGCGTTGATAAGAATGAACAGGGTTCCAATGCCTGTGAATGGGCTTATCGTGGTGCCACTTGCTTCATTAAGAACAATTTGCAGTTGGTGAAACAAAGTGTTGCTCAAGCTTAGTGATATTACTTAAGAGCGTAAGATTTAGGGGGGGGGGGAGTGGTTCATTTTGTAAAACACCACAGAGCTCATTTTGAAAATATAAACAATTTGTAATCAAAAGGAGTTATGGGAGATTTATAAAATAATGGGAAACAAAGTTTTTATCATAATTACAAATTCTAAATAAATTTAGACAAAAATACAAAAAAACTAGGGCGGTCATTTGGTAAAAGACTGCAGCTCATTTTTAAGATATATTAAATACAAATTTATATTTACATCTAAAATGAGTTGCAAGAGTTTACCAAGTATATACATAATGAGGAAATAATTTTGTATTGTAATCTTTATGAATTCTAAATAAAGTTTAGACAAAAATATAAAATTGTGATTATTTATTCTTTGTGGGAAATTTGGGAGAGTATTAAAGATTTACGAATATAAAAGTTTTTTTTATTTAGCCTATTAGATTATCTATGGACTAGTACCATTAAGTAGTATTTTGATAGTCCATTAACTAGTCTGTTTATTGTAGATAAAATACTTAACATTACATTTGCAATAATACTGAATTTACCAGGCCTTGTAGTTAGCAAACCAATCATAACACTTCCTGATTTCCAACCGAACGTGAGTGACAATTTAATTCGCTTAGGTTTGAGATTACTTTAAACCAGAAAATAATAAAAGATGTTAACAAAAGATTAAGTTGATTGAAATATTTCATATTTAAAACATTTGCTACCTGATAAAGGATTTGTTGCATGCAAATATCGGTTTATATTTAAAAAGCAACGCAACATATTTATATGGTCACCTAAAATGGAAATGTCCGTAACAATTCAATAACACAGGGAAACAATTTTTTTAAACCAGAGACTTAAGCATAATTTAATAAAGGATTCAGTAACGTTAAATCAGAATTTGGTTTCAGAATTTCTCTTCACATTTAAAACTTTAAATACCCTCTTTTGCTATATTTGAGTCGTCGTGAACCACCTATATTGATAAAATCGGTTATGTCATCTGAAAGTCCAGTCTGTATACTTAAAATAAAAGTTAAATCTCTGAGATATTTTCATGCTTCTTCGATATATCTTAATCTATATTTGCTGAGATATCGTCCGATAAAGTTTTTGTCTTATAATGAAGGCAATGTCAATTGTTTGGCAATTTAAAATTTTTACAATTTTTTTAATGCTTTTCACCCGACGATATATGTATATATTTGCTTACACACTTTTACGAATCAGCTTAATAACATCTGAATTTTCAACATGAAAAAGGCCGGAATTATTTGTCATTGTAGTAAAAAGCAATTTGATGTAACATTTTACTACACTTCAGTGCAATGGACTTTAGTGAGTGTGAATGCGTTGAAATGTCAACATTATTTGGTCTCTACATATAGATTCAGTATAAGAAGAAGTTATACATATGGAAATCTATAGAAGTCGCCATAGTAAATATTAGAGCATTCAATCGATAAGGGATTATTTTATTAACCGATTAATTTTGATCGATAAGTTGCTCGAAAGTTGCCAAATTTTTTAAAATAATCAAGAAACTTATTAATTTGTTTCTATTAAATGAGAAAAGCTAGAGACATGTTTTTAGTCATAACTCCAAAAAGGGCGATTATTGATTTTATAAGCGGTTTCAAGTTTTTGCCATACTTTTTTGGACCCTTCACGTTCGAAAGAGTAATTGTAATTTTTGCAAATATAAATTTCTGAACCAATAAACAAATTTAAACGAAATGTTTTTATGAAATAACCCACCAAAAACTTGGTATTGATTTTCAATTGTCATCTCTTACCTATTAGCATACTTTTTAATGACTACAACATATTGTCCTGATTACATGGATGTAGTCTAATAATGCCTTATTAATAATGTGTTATATAAATACTTTCTAATTCATTCGAATTCTACTCTGTGAAGCTATAAGATCTATATACTTGTTTTCATACGAAATCTGTACATTAACTAATTTTTTTAATACTTGTCAGAGATTGTGGTAAGTACTTGAACTATATAAAAACATTTTATAACTGTTTTACTCGATTATACGAATAATTTGAAAATATCTGCTTATTAATCGGTTTACAGAAAATCCTGAATTATTGAATACCCTAGAAAATATTCAAATACTTTTATAGCCAACGACGATTTTAAGTTGCAGTGAAGTACATGTGAGGTGTAATGTTGCATGTTGCTGTCATATAACTTTATTTCAAACATGTATGCTCGAGGGACTCCAACATGGAAAATTATTATAATATAAATATGTATTTGAAATGACGTCTATCAGTAGGTGGCAATTTTATGAAGAAACTCCATATATACAGTAGATTCTTTTGACTGAGAGCAAACGCAATTTATGTGGTATTATATATTAAAATTGCGCTAAAGGATATGTTTAAAAATTAATACAGTAGAGCAGGAAGTGATTTCAACTTTGGACATCACAAATGTTGTTTTAATTGCCTTATACCTTAAATAAATAAAATGTTAGTTTCACCAATCATTTCTCAGGTTTTATTTTGTTATAGCAACTAACATTAAATAATTTTTTTATTTCAAGATAAGCTAAGCATTCTAAAATGTAATTCCAAATTCAGTTTAAGGAAATGAAAGTAAAATAGAAAAAAACGATAAAATATAAAAAAGTAATAATTTCACTCAATACTTTTGTCAACTTTATTTTACCCCTAAATTAATACAAATTACTATATTAACTGTTAATTGAAGTTTAATGTTCAACCCCATTGAAATTACTTCATCAAGCCAAAAAAAAAAAAAGGAAAGTAAGTATTCAATTTGCAACCATAAAATGTTTGTATTTCATCAACACTTTGATTTAGTTTTATAGTTTTAGCCAGAAGGCTAAAGTCCCTAGGGCCACTAACAGCAGACAAAGGCAACAAAATGATTTATGATAAGGAATTGGTGCGCTATAAAAGCACTAACTTTCGCCATCCCAAAGGTTTGATAACCTTTCAGCCACCAACGACCAAGGAGCAGCAGCAAGTGAGGCTAGTTGATCGCATGATACAACTAATTAAATACTTCACCAATAGTATTCATGGTGTGTGTTACATTTGGGAGAAGGACTTTCGCTGGAAAGAGCGTTTATTTTGGCTGTTCGTGGTAATTGCTGCCGTTATCACTTGCATTATCATGTACATGTCGCTGGCTAGTCGTCATAATAAGCAGCAGATTAAAACGGTGGTGAAGACCTCACAAATGCCCATTTATAAGATTAATTTTCCAGCGGTAGCCTTATGTCCCTGGGATCATGTCAATTGGTTGCGTTATAAGGCTGCGGAAGAAAAATTTCTACCACCTTATCCCGATAAAAACTTGAGGGATATTTTCTACGATGTATTACAATGCTTGGATGATATGAATCTGTCTAGACTAGACCGTTTGGCATTGCTTAAGAATCATACGATACCCAAAATTATAGATGAAATACCTCTTAACGATTTGGCCAATTTTATGGCATTTCGTTGTGATGAATTGTTTGTGGAGTGTGTCTATGACGACACAATTTATGATTGTTGTAAAATATTTGTGTCAGAACGCACCGAAAAGGGTATTTGCATGGTATTCAATTCAATGGTGTCGGAGGAGTCCAGAAAGAAAAAGGTATTTCGAAAATCATTGTCCTAATAGGGCATTTAGTAACTCAATTTTATTGCAGATAACCGATGCTTTCTATCCTTGGAAAATACGCAAAGCAGGTGAAGGTTCTGGTCTTAAATTTACACTACGCTACAATAAATCATATGAAAGGCAACAAACAACAACACAATTTGGCATCGATGTAAGTATTAATCACATTGAATGTAATAAACAATTTTAATCAACATTGTAACACAAAAAAAGGTTATGATTAAAGAGTCCGATGAATGGAGTGAGTCACTTACACATTTCTTTCTACCCAATACCAAAAGTTATTTAGCCATAACACCCACAATAACTGAAACTTCCACAAATACTAGACGTTTGTCTCCACGTAGAAGAAGGTGTATTTTTGCTGTAAGTAAAGCTTTGTTGGCATTTTTAAATCTTAGCTATAGCTATGTTTCCTTTTTCAAGGATGAAAAATCAAATCGTTATGATCGTATCGAACGTTTACCGATTAATCTATTAAATTGTTATGTTAAATGTCAACAAAAAAATTTAATTAAAATTTGCAACTGCACTTTAACCTGGTTCTTTCCAAAAGCTAGTAAGTGTTGCTTATATTTTGTGGTAAAATTAATTTAATCAAAGTTTTTACTTAGATAAAAAAGAATGCACTGTATCGGATTTTCAATGTATTTATGAAAATAGAGGTGAGTATTCTTCAATTAGTGGAGAATTAATTTAATTCTAACATTTTAATTTACAGATATATTTACTTACATTAAAAAGCCTTTTCAAGATCAATATATAATGGACTCCCGTCGAGGTCTACTCTGTGATTGTGTGGATAATTGCTATTCCTTGGTTTACTTAATTAGTTTAAATTCCAATATGTTGCCCAAGTGAGTAGTAATTGATAATTGTAATTGTGTGACTTTTAAAATTTAACATTATTTTTCAGTATAAATAACAGTTTTCCTCAAATACAAGGTGACATTTATATTGGCCAGGGAGTGGTAACAAAATATGAAGCTCGTTTGGATTATACCGTATTTGATTTGATAGCACAGTTTGGAGGCATCTTGGGTCTATCGTTGGGTGCTTCGGTACTAAGTCTGGCTGAGGTGGTTTATGCTGGCATTAAAATATTAGTGATTTTATTTGTATCGAAGCGATCACAGGCCAGAAAAATCAAACCCAAAAAACAAAAGGCAAAAACACATAAGAAATGAGTTACATATGGGCATTTCCATGAGAAGGTCTACCAAGACTGAACATATAAAAACCCTTCTAACTTTCGCATTTTTTTAAGATAATTTAACAAAATTTGATACACGGGCTTCTATTAGACTAAAGTCGGTCCATTATTTCTCTTAAGTCCCATACAACCATACTAAATAACGCTTTTGAGCTCATTATTTCGTTAAAAATACTAGTATTTCTACAAAAATCGGCAGATCTATAATTTATATGATCATCAACCGAACTGTCGATTTTTGTAATAATTGGGCCTCATTTCACCGTAGTCCCCATACAAGGTAATTTTTAAGCAAATTTCTTAAAAGTCCATAACTCTCTGAAATCGACAATTGAATTGTTGCCCAAAAAAACAACTTCTATTTTGTAGCGTTCGAACACCCTGGTTTTTAGCAATTATCTTTAAAATTAAAAATGGACCAAAATCAAACTTAAAACCAATTAGAGGGCTAATGAAAATCTATAAAAAACCCCTATTTTCAAAATTAAAATTACTTTTATTTTGACATTTTTATCACTTTAAATGTGTTTGACTGTCGCGTTCAACATTTTGGAAATGCCCATACATATGTACATTAGGGTTATAATTTTTTTAATTTCAAATTGGCCAACCCACGACATAGAGTATAAATAAATACGTCACAGTACATACGACATAACAGAGATTAAACCTTTATTTTGAAGTCGACCGATTAGACTTTAGACGACATGAAAAATTTTATAAATATAGATCTCTTCACGCTGTTATAACGTCTCAAATATGCCCAAAACGAGTTTATTTCAATATCAATAACACGATATTTTAAAACATGATGTGACGAGGAAATTCTGAGGCCATATTCGAATTCAACTCAATCCTCCAGAAAAATATTCTTTGGTCTTTGGTCGACTTTTCAAATCTAAATTCTATTAGAGATAATTTTTAAATGCTTCAAAACAATATGATTTTAAACTTAACTTTGTCTAAAGTATTTGGCTTTAAGTGTAATTTGTATGTACTATAAATGGCTTTAAAAAAGTGTCAACAAAATCCATTAATAAATAATCAACATAATTTACTTTCTACTTTTTTTAATTTTATTTATGATTCTCTTAAAATAACTTATATAAAAAACGTATATGATTCACTGTACAGGCAAACACTACTATGTAGTCCCAGCAAAATAGCAATGTTAAATAATAAACTGTTAAAATTGTTTATTAACAACATTACAGACATAATAACAGTAACTGCAGTGACGTACGCATAGCGGCGCCACTTTATATACAGTGGCAAGTAGTTGAACTAACTTAACATTACTTTACAGAAATGTAAACGAATGATTTTTTTTAAATTTTGAGGGTTGCTTTTTAATGGGATTGAAATTTTGTCGAGCACATAGATTCTAATTTTCCAAAAATATTTATGGTAATCTTTTCATGTATATGAGATGAAGTATTTTACAAAAATATGGCAAATAAAAAAAGCTTTTTATATAAAATTTATTATCTACATCGTTTTTTATTTAATTAACTATATATAGGATTAACATTCAAGTTTAGTTATAGAGATACAATGAATACTTCAATAAATGCATTTAATTAATTCAGATATATTTAACAAATGGAAGTACTTCGGTTACAACTGGTGGATAAGACATTGAACAATTTGGTTTGTGATTACTAATAGGAAGTTGTGTAGATATGTGTTCATAAACAGTTTCAGTCTTTATTTAGTTTTCACATGCTGGCGGGCGCTCATCTGGCGCCCCTTCAAGTTTTTTGGTGATTTCTTCTTGGCCAACTCAATGGCGGTACTCAAAGCAATGGCAAACTGAGCCAAATAATAAGTGGACATAATCCAAATCTAAAGAAACGAAAAATGTTACAGAACTTATTTCTGAATTTTAAAGAGATAAATAAAACATACTCTAGCATGTGGAACTTTAATTAGGAACATATCGACACCAATCAAACCATCAGAGATGACAAAGAACACACTGCCAACGGCACAGAAAATGTAAAGGAAACATTTACTGTCAACAGCACGGGCCAAAGAACGCCAGCACATTGTCAACAATAGGAAAACATAAACAGGAAGACCAATAACTAAAATCTCATCTAGATCCTTAAAAACAATGGCCACCACTGAAAAATAATTTATAAAATTAAAAAAACTAAACTTTTTAATCAATAATAATACTTACAAGCTGCGCCTGCCAAATACAAAGGTACTGCTATCAACCATTTTAATGGTTTAAAACCAAAAGCAAATATATAGCAGATTTGAGCCAAGGCAAATGAACCCATGCCATGAGGGAAGAGATCTATGTTTAGAAGCGCATCACCGCCACTCGAAAATACCAAGCCTAATAAAATAATCTGCGAATATCTATAGCTAAATAGTAGTATTAGGGGTTTAGTATTGTTTTTTAATATTATGATTTGAACTTACTCTTTGGTTAAATTAATGCCCTTTAAAATAATGTACAACATTAAGCAGAAGATTGGTGCACATTTCAATAGAGTTGTCCATAATTCACCATGTGGATCTCGTACAAAAACAAAATATATAATCACAAATACAAAAAATGGTATTAATTTTGGACCCTGGCTTTTTAACTGTAATGTAAATATTTCGGTTAATTTTAGATATCACATAAAAATACTGTAATATGTATATGAACAGGTATAATTTTGAAATATCTTAATGTAAGAGATGAGAAAAATGCAAAGAAAATTGGAATTTTGAATTAATACTAACTTTTAATGAAAATAGGTCTTAAAGTACTAGACTAGACTACAGACTAGACTATAGACTAGACTATAGAATAGACTATAGAATAGACTATAGAATAGACTATAGACTAGACTACAGACTAGACTATAGACTAGACTATAGAATAGACTATAGACTAGACTACAGACTAGACTATAGACTAGACTATAGACTAGACTATAGACTAGACTATAGACTAGACTATAGACTAGACTATAGACTAGACTATAGACTAGACTATAGACTAGACTATAGACTAGACTATAGACTAGACTATAGACTAGACTATAGACTAGACTATAGACTAGACTATAGACTAGACTATAGACTAGACTATAGACTAGACTATAGACTAGACTATAGTTTAGACTATAGACTAGACTATAGACTAGACTATAGACTAGACTATAGACTGGACTATAGACTAGACTATAGACTAGACTATAGACTAGACTATAGACTAGACTATAGACTAGACTATAGACTAGACTATAGACTAGACTAGACTATAGACTAGACTAGACTAGACTAGACTAGACTATAGACTAGACTATAGACTAGACTATAGACTAGACTATAGACTAGACTATAGACTAGACTATAGACTAGACTATAGACTAGACTATAGACTAGACTATAGACTAGACTATAGACTAGACTATAGACTAGACTATAGACTAGACTATAGACTAGACTATAGACTAGACTATAGACTAGACTATAGACTAGACTATAGACTAGACTATAGACTAGACTATAGACTAGACTATAGACTAGACTATAGACTGGACTATAGACTAGACTATAGACTAGACTATAGACCAGACTATAGACTAGACTATAGACTAGACTAGACTAGACTATAGACTAGACTAGACTAGACTAGACTAGACTATAGACTAGACTATAGACTAGACTATAGACTAGACTATAGATAGACTAGACTATAGACTAGACTATAGACTAGACTATAGACTAGACTATAGACTAGACTATAGACTAGACTATAGACTAGACTATAGACTAGACTATAGACTAGACTATAGACTAGACTATAGACTAGACTATAGACTAGACTATAGACTAGACTATAGACTAGACTATAGACTAGACTATAGACTAGACTATAGACTAGACTATAGACTAGACTATAGACTAGACTATAGACTAGACTATAGACTAGACTATAGACTAGACTATAGACTAGACTATAGACTAGACTATAGACTAGACTATAGACTAGACTATAGACTAGACTATAGACTAGACTATAGACTAGACTATAGACTAGACTATAGACTAGACTATAGACTAGACTATAGACTAGACTATAGACTAGACTATAGACTAGACTATAGACTAGACTATAGACTAGACTATAGACTAGACTATAGACTAGACTATAGACTAGACTATAGACTAGACTATAGACTAGACTATAGACTAGACTATAGACTAGACTATAGACTAGACTATAGACTAGACTAGACTATAGACTAGACTATAGACTAGACTATAGACTAGACTATAGACTAGATAGAGGACTAGACTATAGACTAGACTATAGACTCCTAGACTATTAGAATAGAACTATAGACTAGACTATAGACTATAGAATATATTTAGACTCTAGACCTAGACTATAGATCGATTAGAATATATACTAGACTATAGACTACACTATAGGCTACACAAGGCTACATCTAGACTAGACTATAGACTAGACTATAGAACTAGTCTATATAGACTATAGACTATAGGAATATAAACTGACAACTTTTTGTAATAAAGAGTTTTCTATGATTAATAAAAAAGCTTTCTTCTATTAAAGTAAGTTTTTTATAACTTTTTCATAAAAGCTTTTTCGAACAAATTTTCGAAGAATGTGAAGACATGATTTTATTCGCATTTATATTTTGACGCTTATACGATTTTAAAAGCTACTCAGGGGAATTTTACTCATATTCAAAATTATATAGATTACTTCAACTAAATATGTACAAATAAAATATCTACTTGACTGACTACTGCAATGAATTTAAAATATAGTTCAATTTGTTTTGTAAACAAAGTTCATTAGTTTAAACTGACAAATTTTGAATGCAAACTAACGGAAACAAATTCCTAAACGATAATATTGCTTATTTAAATTATTAGCGAACAATATGAAGTACACTAAAATCTACAAACTAAATCGTTTTATAACGATAAGATTAGACCACTAAGTTTTCAATTGCTACGATAACAAATCCCATAAATAAAAGCAAAAATAAAATTTAGTTGCTAAATCCATCAAAGGAATACTTTCGAACAGAAAATATAGTTATAAATAGTAAATGTAAGCTTTTTGCTTTTACAACTTAAATCCTTTAAAAGCTTTCTACTTATACATAGAAAACAGATAACACAAGATGGACAAGGTCAAGGACACTTGCGAAATGAATAAACGATGAGTATATATATAACCATTAAATGAGCTTTTTACTCACAAACGCATAAAGGGCGCGCAAGGACTTAATGCACGTAAATGCAAAGGTTGGCGGATGTACAAGCCAGAAGAGATAACAATAAAAAATGTTATTTAATGATAAATAGGAAGTGAATAAATTGTATACAGAAAACTAAATCAAATTGTGATAAAAATTATACTCAAACATGCAAAACTAAATGTTGAACTTTGACGTCTTGTTATTGAGGGCGATGAGAGGTGAAATGATGACTTACAAATTGTTTGACATCCGTCATTTTAAAGCTTCTGTGGACAGCCTCTTTTAGAATTGAAAAGCGATGCGTGCAAGGCAAATAAAAAGTAACACTAAAAACAAAAAAATTTAATAAAATTTAAGATTTTAATTTATTACATTAAAAACTTTTTTCCAATTCAATCACACCTTAAAAGCAGACAACCGACCGATACGCTTAATTGACTACAAACAACTGAGTGTTGGTAATTAGTTGATGTATTGAACAAAATGTTTCTCAAAATAAAAATAGCAATAATCTGTATGTTGTATGAGTTTTTTTTTTTGCCAGAGACAGAGCAGTTTCAATTTTTATCAACAAGAAATAAAACTCAATTGTATTTTGTTTGGCTTTCAAACATTATCGCTCCCCAGCCCCCTAAACACATAGCCCCTTGAACAGTACTACAACAAATATTTTATTATCATACCATTATCATATTATGGGCTTTAAATATTTACTCTTGTGTTTAGCTCTTTAAAAGCTACTTTGTTTAAAAATAACAGAGAATTGAAAAATAAAATGAGAAAGAATTGAAAGAGCTGGAACAAGAAGAGAGGTGGAATGAAACAAATTAAGTAAATAAACAATTCAACAGGTGATTATTATGAACATGCTTAGATTTCACTTTCTAAAAGTAAACAAACCCAAAAATATTTAAAACAAAAGCTTTTAATTAAAGCTTTATGAAAAAGCATTGACAAAAACTTGAAAATATGGCATATGCGCATAACAGTACTCTATTATTTACAGTTAAAAAGCTTGCAATGAAAAAAGCTTTTGTTCTACTGTGTTATAATTGGAATAAAAACCCACTGACACAAATGTCCCTTTAGTTCCTGTACTTCTGGCAAGTGAATAAGTTGACATTTCAAGGAATAAGAAAACCAAAGAAAATGTCCTAAACAAAGAAAGCAATAAAAATTTTAAGGTGAATTATAAATAAAAAGAAACAAATAAACAACAATTTTTATTAAAAAGTAAGTAGATTTTTACAAAATAAAAGCTAATTAAAAGAAAAATGTTCTTTATTTGTTAAGTAATCACAAATAAACTTCCGTTTTTCACAAAAACATAAAAACAATAAAAAAATACATCTCTTATTTATTGTGTGTGTATCCTTAATTTTATATTTTAATATACATACATGACCCTACTGCACTACATTTTGGTTAATGTATGTATGTGTAAATCTAATTTAACATATATGTTCGTGTGTGTGTTTTTAAGGAAATAAAATTTTTCAAATGTATTTAAATAGAAAAACCTTGTATTTTAAGTTCAGTTATTCAAAATCATTTGATTAAATTCTTAACATTGAACTTGGAATTGAAATGCATTTCATTAGAAAGGAACCTTCTTCAAATGTTATTCATTACCCTTATTCTACCCTCTATTATATCACGAATTTCAGTTCAAACTATTCATTTAATACTTAGTATACTTTTGAATTGCTCTTAGTTTCTTTTTTGTTGTGTATGTATGTCATTTTAGTCTTTTTCTTTGTACTTCAATTACTATCTTTTTTATTTCTTATGCATTCCTTTTAGATTTTTCATTGCCTGCTGCAGTTGCTGCCTGTTTGTTTGACTGACTGACTGAAGAGGCACTTGTAGACATTTACAATGGCTTGTCCTTATTTTCGTCGCACTGATTCATTGCCACGTCAACCCTCAGTGGTGGCGGAACCTTCTGCCAATTGGACTTTGGAAGATGAGGAACAACCAGATGATGCTCTTACATTAACCCATTTGCAAATGGCCATACAGCTATTGACAGCTCCTTCGGTATGGTTAATCTGAATTTTAAATTTTACTTAATTACACTGTTTTTTCTTTTGTTTTTAGAACGAGGACTTAAATACTGCTGTTACATCTTTAATTTCGAAATACAATCAAAGCTGGCCAAATATTTCAAAATTGTAAGTTTAAGACTTTTTCGAACACTAAACTACTTACGCGGGTTCAAGCGTTCGAAGTCTAGAACAAAAAATAGCTGCAATCAATCACATCTGAATGTTTAGCAAAAATACCTTATTCACACATGTCCTTAACCGAAACGAACTAAAATTCTGTGTTACAATTCCCAAACAGTTTATGAATTTAATATATATAGCAAAAATCGAATTACCGATCAGACGAGGTCAAAATTATATACTAATTATACACTTTTCAGCTCTTTTGGTCAAGAACTGTCGGAGTTAGAAGGGGGTCAAAGTTTGACATTTTGGTCGTACAGGGTTTTTTTCAAATGAGTATAGCTTTGCACCTATTTGTCCCAGCAAAAACTTTCCAAAGATGTTTAGTTAGATACATCTTCACTGTTTCCAAAAAAATAAATTCTAAGGAGTCGTTAGCTGACAGAGTGTCGTAAGCTAAAGGTTTATAGTTTTTCGCTTTCCACGCATCTAAAAAGCGCGAAAAGCGTTGCATGTAATTTGAAATTTTAAAAAAGCTTAGAGGCCAAGAAATATTACAAAATAAATACTTTATTAAAATGCGCTTATTAAATAATTTAATACACAAATTGCGTGATTAAATGTCATCACTTGTGCCTGTAGAAGTAGCGAAACTAAAAAAGAAGTAGTACACTGAAAATAATCAATGCTTAACTTTTTCATAATATTTACGAAAATTTCGTATATAATACGAAATATTATTTATTTAAAGCCTCTCCTAATTTTACGAAAATATGAAAACCTTTTTTCTCGTGAATATCAAGATGTGACATTTAACAAAAGTATAAAACTTTCATTAAATAAACGAATTTTTCTAAATTTGTTTGCATTATTCTAAAATATTTTGTACAATTTCGTATATATTACGAAAAAATTTTATGGTGCGAAACCACGAAGCATTTCGTACAAAATTTCACGTATATATTAGGCATGGATTATTTTCAGTGTACAACAGCGTAATGATTCCCTTAAGTATAATTAATTTCAGATAGGGAAGTAGTATCTATCCGTAATAAGAAAAGGTGTAAAATATGTCGAATTTTATTAGTATCACAAAAACTAATTCTCAAATTAATGAATGCTTTATGACACAAATTATATGGAAAAACTGTTTAATAATCCAAAAACAAAACCATTGATAACTTTATGAGTGCAGGGTCCTTTACCAAAAATGTTTTTTAAATTCTCAAATGTATGTATATGTATATGAATGTATACTTTCAGACGCATTGATTTGGATACTTTAAAAAATATACCCAATTATGATTATCTGGGTGATATACAAGACATACTTTTGGAAATGGATGAATCGAGTGCTAGTGAGATATTAGTACTGCTAGGTGAAGAGCTAATAATAACTTGCTGTACGGGAATCATAGAGAGAGCTTTTCGTTGCTTGGGCACCGAATTACAAGAGTTTTTGGGTTCCTTAGATGGAGTATATGATGTATTGAAATTTCAAGAGGTATGTATTTCACACAAAAAATCAAAGAATGCAATTAATGACATTTTATTTCATTCACAGGAAGAGGACTGCAGCGATACTGGCTTTGTATGTGCTGGTGATGGTGAATTAATTTTCACCTCCGAACGTCCTGTAATTGCTTGGTTGTTGTTGGGTTCTTTAAAGGCCTTGACTCGTATACTGTTTAATCTACAGGTCAATATAAAAATTGAGCCTGTGGAGGGTGATTGTCGCCGTTATCGCTATTTGTTTTCTTTGGCTAAAGACGGTCATGCTAGGGAGTCACAGGTATTGAAAGCCGAAGAACTGCCCATGCAACGTAGCAATTCTACTAGCGCTGCCGATTTATCTATGAATTCCAGCTCATTTTGCAAAGCTTTTCCTTGGCATTTTATAATGAATGAAGAATTGGAACTGGTGCAGTTGGGTATGTTTAATAAATGGAAAACTAAGAAATGTGTTTATTGAATATTTAACAAATATTTCTAGGTCGTGGTTTTAGCAAATTGTATAAACCTTTCTTAGCAGATTACGGTTGTTTAGCTACCACCTATTTTGATTTTAAACGTCCCAAGGGTTTAAACATGAAGTTTAGAGACATTGTACGCCGTACTTACACACCCTTTTTAATTGCTTTAAAAAATCCTCCTGATGTACAGGAATTTACAGCTAAAGTAGGTGTAATCTAAATAAAAGTAATTTCTCTTAACTTTCCTTTAATATTTACTTCAAGGGCCTGGAAATCAAGGGTCAAATGGTGCACTGTCCCGAATCAAATTCTTTACTCTTTATGGGTTCTCCATTTTTGGATGGTTTAGATGGCTTGACCTGCAATGGTCTTTTCATCTCCGATATACCATTACATGATGCTACACGCGAAGTGATTCTAGTGGGAGAACAGGCTAGGGCTCAAGATGGTTTACGCAGGCGTATGGATAAACTTAAGAGTTCTATAGAAGAGGCCAATGCGGCTGTAACCAAGGAACGTAAGAAGAATGTCAGTCTTTTGCATTTGATTTTCCCAGCCGAAATTGCTGAACGTTTATGGTTGGGTGCTAGCATTGATGCCAAGACCTATCCCGATGTCACCATACTCTTCAGCGACATTGTGGGCTTCACCAGCATTTGTTCTCGTGCTACACCCTTTATGGTCATCAGTATGCTGGAAAGTTTATACAAAGATTTCGATGAATTTTGTGACATGTTCGATGTTTACAAAGTGGAGACTATAGGCGATGCCTATTGTGTGGCCAGTGGTCTACACCGAGCTTCCATCTATGATGCTCACAAGGTGGCTTGGATGGCTTTGAAAATGGTGGATGCCTGTTCCAGGCAAATAACCCATGATGGTGAGCAAATCAAAATGCGTATAGGTTTACATACTGGAACTGTTTTGGCGGGAGTTGTGGGACGCAAAATGCCACGTTACTGTTTGTTTGGTCATAATGTTACTATTGCCAATAAGTTTGAGTCGGGCAGTGAGGCTTGTAAAATTAATGTTAGCCCCACCACAAGAGAGTAAGTTGTTAATGTTAATCTTCCCAGAGGGCTAAATTTATATTTCTTATTTTTTTAACAGATGGCTTATTAAGCATCCCGGATTTGATTTCAACTTACAACCCCGTGATCCCTCTTGCCTACCAAAGGAATTTTTCAATGCCGGCAATGGCACCTGTTACTTTTTGGAAAAATATCGTCATCCTTCTATGGATGAGAGTCTACCCCTGGACGATCATATTACCGCGGCCATGAAATCTATAACAACTTCAGCAAATTAATATTAAAGCGTTCATTGTTATTCGATTAAGGAAAATCTCAAAAATTAGCTTTATTTAAGAACTTAATGTTATGGAATTGGTATTGAATCAATCAATTAATCCTTGCTCACTTATACCACTTTCTGGTTAATTTCTTTTAAGTTCTCACTTAACTTCAGCATGTATTTTAGTGACAAGAACTTGCATGTATTCAAATTAAAACCAAGTGTTTGTTAATTTAAAATAAAAATAAAATAATACTAATTTATTCAATAAATCACGATAAATTACATGTCAATAATTTCTCGATATTTCATCTCTCAATTTGTAAACTTTATCGTAGACCGGACTTTGAGACTTTAAACACTTTTGCAATTCCCAAACCAAGTTACCAGAGTAGTATTTATCATATTTTGCATTGGCACGATGGCTGCAGTTTCGCACTACGTCTCGGGATTCTGTCGAATCTTCAAGGGCTTCTTGGTAACTCAAGTTGATTTCAGGCTCCTAAAACCAAAATAATTTTTCATTAACCATTTTGAAACCTCCGCCCAAATAACTTAAACTTACATCAATTCTGCCATAAGCATCCAAATAGCGAATATTTTCAAAAATACACTGCAGTTTATCTTTATACTCAGTTAGCAGGGAAACCTCTTCATCATTAGATGTTTCTTTAGCCATAACATTTTCTGCCTTAATAAAATCACAAAATTCCGTAGCCGACTGACCAATTTTTTTACTCAGCTTAGGCTTAAAATGAAAACCATATTATTTAATGTGATCTATAGAAAATATTTGCACTTACATCCTCCTTTTTCCAAGTACTATTTGTAGTAAAAGTATATTCGAATAATTCCAAACAATTATTGCGAAATTCCATTAATTTGCGATAAGTATCTGTACATTTACCACTAAGCGGTTCACTAAAATCAAATCTATCCAAACAGGTGTCTTCCTCAAAGGCCTCTTCAATTTTATCCCAAATATCAATAAACTTTCTGCTCTATTTTATATGTAAATAATATTCAGATTTAAAATTTGTAGTTAAAAACTATAAACTTACATTTAAACCTCTTGTTTTTAAATCCATTAAACCCATTCTATAAAGAAAACAATGCAAAAAACATTGAGTCTCGGGAGAGTCCCCATAATTGATTGTATCAGCCTGGGGATACTGCTGCAAACACCTGAGACGAGCATGACGTATAAGAGCTTCGCTTAAATTGGAATTCTATAATTTTGAAATACATGTTCAAAACAAAGTTATAAGAATAATAACGTATGACATTAATTTACCCTTAGTTCCCCTGATTCTTGACAGTAGTTAGTGTCCACACTTGTTGCTAACAAGATGACCAATATTTTGAACACGTTTTTATAAGCCATATTGCACTTTTATGCGTCATTAATTTATTTCCTTTTATTTTGTAACTTTTTTTTAATTTCAATTACTTTGCTGATCTAATTTATATGTTAAGTATTCTAGAGTTTTATCTATCTGATGGTTGTTTATATTCTGTTACCGTTTCTTTTCTGTACTTTTTTTTCGTTTGATAAGAACTGGCGTTGTTGATTGCGTATGTCTGGTACGTTTGCATTTCAGAACAAAACAAAACATTTTTTATTGGCCTTAATCAAATGGAGGAACAACGTATGAATGTATCTCTTTTAACGCCAACATTGATATAAATTTACGAGCAATTGAACAGTGAGTAAGAACCTACGATTCTCTTGAGAATGTTTCCCTTAAATATTAGTTGTATTTCAAAAGCGAGTTACTATTGTGACTCAGATAAGGTGGATAAAGATATTAAAAAAATGTTGGTGTAGTAAAGGTCGAATACGAAATACCCTTTTTCTTCACCGGAAAAATTATAAACGAAGTACTTCCAAAATAATGATATTATAATCACTTTAAAAATATCACTGAAGGAAGAAGTGTTTTATAAAATTGTTGGCTATATTTGATACGTTATAACGTTTATATATAAAGTTGACAAGTCCAATCTGTCTACTTTAAAATAAAAGTTGTACCTCTCGCTTCTTCGAGATATCTTAACTATAAATTAAAAAATATATATATTTTACGGCAATAATTTAAACGGACGATATCTCAACAAATACAATAGATTTTTAAACACTTCAAAAAGTAACCAGTAAAAATGTATAGTCGGACATGGCCCACCATAAGATACCCTACACCAGTGAGTATGTTAAAAATGTGGATTATGTCTTTAATAATAAATCATTTTACATTAACTCCGAAATATTTTAACATTTTATTGTCAAATAATTGATTTTCTGAAAGGGGTAGAGATAGGGAGTAAAAGATAATATGGTCCTATCCGTCTAAACTTTGATAGAGCGATTTACTATGACATTAAAGTTATTTATGCAGAATTTCATCTTAATACTGGGGTACAATTTTCACCTTCAGGTCATTTTCTAAAGGAAGCTAGGTCCTTACGAAAATCGGCAGTATCGTTTAGTCTTATATTAAACTACGATTTGACGATTTTTGTAAAGATTATCTTGAAAATTGCGACCTGTAGCATGCGCACAAGGACATACAGACGGACATAGCTTATTCGACTCAAAAAGTGATTCTGAGCCGATGATATAACCCATTTTAGAAGGTTTTCGCGCTACCAAAAACGGGTTCTTTCAATGTTTAGTACACGATACCTTTAAAACCTGATGTGATGGAAAATCTTAAAACCAGATTTAGATTCAGCTCAATCCTTTAGAATCGTTGTGTTTTTTTGGGTAAAAAATTGGTTGAAATAACTTCAAAATTCTCAGATCAAATTATTTAAGATTTATTATAGACTAATAACTAGAAAATAATTTATTTATTCTTTTAATTTTATAAATATTTTATTTTCAAATTTTACGCTTGTTGTTGTTGGGCAGCTTCGTGACGTTGTTTAATATAATTTTTTACTTTGTCACCAATAACACTGCTCATCAAACAACCATGAACTTCAAAAGCAGCCACATCATTGGCCTTATCACCCTTGGGATATTTGGCAATACAATCTTCGGCCAATTTCTTAACTTCTTCTTCATCCATGTCCATTTTGAATTGTTTGGCAATACGATCGGCATGATAACCCTGATGAGAACAGAAGATGCCCATTTTCACAGCGGTGCAGAGAAGATATTGGCGAACGGGTTCCTCATTGGGAAAATCAAAATTCTTCATTTTATTCATTTGTTCAGGGGTGAGAGGATGTTCACTTAAGCATTCGTGACGTATAACTTTGAGTTGTTCGCTATTTTTTACGGTCCATTCTTCGGCACAAACCTGTGGATTTTTATTTTTTTTTTACTATTAATATGTTTATTAAGGTAATTTTCAATTGATTTCTTTACTTACACAGGCCACTAACGCTAAAATTGCAACAAATATTTTCATTTTGGATTTATTTTTCTTTTAATTTTATACTGCACTTTCGGAACACAAACAACCTTTGCCAACAACGATTACTACTTGAGTGATTAAAATCTGCTGTGGACGATATTTTATATACATATGCTTTTAGTCTAAGTTTTAAAAACATAATAGACACGTCTGTCCATATATAAGTTACTGATAATACTATACATATATTTATAGATATGTACGTGTGGTTTACTTATACAAACATACTTAGGGTCCAAATGCCAGCTTAAAACGGGCAGAGGTAATACGAGCTAATAATATTGATAAGAAGTGTAGCACCGAATACTAGATGTAGAATATATACATACAATAGAAGAACGCCTAATATTAAAACTAAACACCAGTGATGATTTTCAATAAAAATATAATTTTAAAAGTATTTTTGTTTATTTTCTTATATTCGGTAGGTCACAACCGATAACGCCAAGATTAAAACGGGTGCTTGAACGTTTTCTATCAAATAAATATATGTATGTAACTATATAAATATTCTAACACAAGTCCATAGATATGTATGTATATAAAACCGTGCATTCACTTTAAGTTTTTCTAAACTGATTTTGATAAGAAATGTTTGTTTATGTTTTGACGACAGAACGACTGACGATCCAGCCGGCTTCTGTAAATATTATGACATTAGTAATTTTTCCATATGTTTCTTTGTTGCTTCTAATCAATGCATTAGATAGAATGAGTTGTCACTTTTAATTGCGGAAAAAATTGAAATGCAATTGTTAAAGCAAAAATAAAATACTAAAAAAAATAACATTAATAATTTTTATTATTAACTAAAATACGTTTATTAATTTTTAAATTTTTTATTTCTACATAATTTTTTTCTAATAATTTTAAGCACTTTCATGACGTTTCTTCAAATAGTCCTTGATTTTATCGCCAACGACAGTGCTCATAAAACAAGTATGATTTTCAAAAGCGACAACATCGTGGGGTTTATCGCCCCTGGGGTTTTTGGCTACACAATCATCGGCCAATTTCTTCACTTCTTCCTCATCCAAGTCCATTTTAAATTGTTTAGCAATACGATCGGTATGATAGCCCATGTGAGTACAGTAGATGCCCATTTTCACGGCGGAACAGAGAAGATATTGGCGAACACCTTACTCATTGGGGAATTCGAAATTTGACATTTTGTTCATTTGTTCAGTGGTAAGAGGATGTTCTTTTAAGCATTCATTGCGAATTTCCTTAAGCTGTGCGCCAGTTTTAACCGTCCATTCTTCGGCCGAAACCTATGACAGGAATTTTTATATAATATTATTTATTTTATAACTTATATTTTAATTTCAGTCTATAAATTAACATAGTTTTACTTACACAGGCCACTAAAGCTAAAACTGCCAAAAATACTTTCATTTTTGTTTTATGAAAAAATACGAACAACCTTTTGGAAACAAAATGACCAGTTGACTGATTAAGTCCGTTCTGATCGATGTTTTATATAGCAGATTTTTTTCGAAATTTAATTTAACCCTTAGACATGTCCGTCCAATATTTGCTGATAATAGTTTTGATAATTTAATTTTAAATAAACATCTGTACGTTTACGATTTATTTGAGCTGCAAATATCTGCTCAAAATAGGCAGAGGTAAATTGAGCTAAAATTCATAAGACAACTAAAGCTTAGGTTATTAAATCGTTTACGTTGACGTTATAGAACGTTTTTCAATAACGTTGAAGTTACTTTCAGACGATAATGATAATGAATTAACCAATTGCACAATAACAAAAATATAAATCCACAAATGCGACTGAAACACAGCAAAAACTTATCAATATTGGTGCTAAGTGGAAAAACTTACTTTTTAGATGAATACCCACTTATTATTGTTCGACGAGACCAACAAATAATTGGTTACAAATGTGCCTACCCGACTTTCTGGTTTTAGCATAAAAGTATAAATCAATAACTGGTGATATCAACTACGGTTTGAACCACTTTTTTCTTGTATTCCAGTATAACTATTTAGACAATTGGTTACAAATCCTATTCAACAAAATGAAATGTTATTGAATGACAACCACTTATTACCCAGTAATGTATGAAATAAATACATTACTCATTACCAAAATTCAAAAATTTGCTGCTGGGAAGTAAAGTATGAGCTCGTCTTTATCTGCCGGTTTTGATAAGAACTAGTATTTATTTAATTATGTTTTGTCTACTAAACGATAGACCTTTTTAAACTATTAATTTGTTTTTATGACTCCTAAGTACTAGAGGTCAAATTTAGGACCAATAACACGAACTGGTCCCAGCTAGTTATAAATATTTAAATTTTTAATCATTAAGACTAATTAAATTAAAATTAAGTCCAACAAAAATCAATGTATACTTTTCGAAAGGATTGAGTACTGAAGCCAAATCTGAGACTAACAGCACATAGATATGGGGAATTTCGTGTCTAGTGACCAAATCGATGTTTTCCGATTCGGAGGAAATTTGCACCAAGGTTAGTACTATATTCAGCTCTATCGGTCAATAACTGCAGAAGTCAGAAGGGGTCAAAGTTGGACATTTTGGTCATACAGGGTTTTAATCAAATGAGTGTAACTTTTCACCTATTGGTCCTAGCAAAAATTTTCCAGAAGAGTTAAGATAGCAATTTATTCATTTTTTCTTCATTTTGGAACTAATCTTGCTGCAAATTTCGTCAAAATCGATTTTTTGAGTTATGAAATCTGTAAGGTTTAACCACTGTTAATCTTCTTCTTTGATTTATTTCTCGAATACGGAAGTAAAAATATTGATTAGACTTTCAGTTGACATAACAAATAATATAATTAACAAGTAGGAAAGCTCATAATTAACAAGTAGGGCATGGCCGTCCATATGATAAACTACACCACTGAGTATGTTAAAAATGTGTATTATATTTAATAACAAAACATTTAAGTTATTTACCTAAATTCAGAAATATTTTAACAATTTGTCGAAAAAAGTGATTTTCTAAAAAAAAGGTTATATGGGGGCAAGAGTATATATGGGCCTATCCTTATAAATTTTGGTACATGGCTTTACGTTTACATTAGAGTTATGTATGCTGGATTTCATTGTGATACTAGAGTTTATTAGTGTATTATTGACCTTCAAGTCATTTTCTGAAGGGGACTTTGTATGGGGGCTAGGGTCAAATAAAGTCCGATAATTATGAAAATTGGTAGTATTATTAAGACGTACATAGAACTAAGTTTTGCCGATTTTTGTAGAGATACTACAATATTTAACATAATTATGAACTCAAAAGCCCTTTCCGGGGGGTAAGGTGAAATAATAGACAGATTTGAACCATTTTCAATAGGCTTCGTCGTTGGGCCGAAAAATACGCATGGTCCAAATTTTATCAAAATATATTGAAAATTGAGACCTGTACCTTGCGCACAAGGTTTACATGGACAGCTAGCCGGACAGACGGACGGACATGACTTAATCGACAAAGTGATTCTGAGTCGGTGTTTGGTGGGTGAAGGACCAATATTTTTGTGCGTTACAAACATTAGCACAAACGTATAATACCCTCCCCACTATGGTGGTGTAGGGTATAAAAATATCTTCGCCCTGATATAGCGTCACAAATATGACTAAAAATTGGGCTTTTCAAACTTCATGACACGTTATCTTGATAACTTGATGTGCTAGATGAAGTCTCAGATTAGGATTGAGCACTTCTCAATGCTTTTATCTCTACAAATTACAATCTTTTTAATTAATGAGCTTAAGGACATAACTGATGCCCAGAAAATCATATTTTATGCATGCATGATTGACGTTGATTTATTTTTAAGAATTTTTATAAATTTTTGAATTGAAACTATCCAAATTGTTATTACATACTTTTGCTCAACAAAATAATCTTGAAATTAAATAAATAAACCAATTAACTTTTTAATTTTAACTAAACATTTTTTATTTTTCAAGTCAAACACATTATTTTAGCTACGTTGCTTGATACTGCTCAAAAAACAATTATGCATCTCAAAAGTGTAAACATCGTTTGGCTTATCGTCCCTGGGGATTTTTGCTAAACAAGCATCGGCCAATTTCTTAACCTGTTCTTCGCCCATATTCATTTTGAATTGTTGAGCAATACGATCGGTATGATAGCCCTGATGGGGACAGAAGACACCCGATTTTACAGCAAAACAGAGGATATATTGGCGAACTGGTTCTTCATTGGGGAATTCAAGATTGTTTATTTTGTTCAATTGTTCAGGAGAAATGTGATTTTCTTGTAAGCATTCATCGCGAATCTGCTTGATTTGTTCATCAGATTTAACCGTCCATTCTGCGGCAGAAACCTTTATGAGAAAAAATTTTACAAGTTATTTTATTTTATGTTAAAAACATAACTGTTAATAGATTTACTTACACAGGCCACTAAAGCTAAAACTGCAACAAATGTTTTCATTTTCGATATTTTTAAATTAAAATCTTAAGAACACACACACAACTTTTTTAAACAAAGATGTCAACTTGAATGAATAACTCTGTGTTAAATGATCTTTTATATACAAATTTTTGTTTCCAAAATTTTTACTAACCAATAGCCAAACTATTCTATATTTGCTGATAATAGTATTTATGTGTGGTCTACAAATACAAATTGATAAAATTAATCACTACTACTGCTACACAAATTTCTTTCCGTTTGCGTATGACGTTATTAGGATGTGTAGCACTATTATTTTATTTGTATTTAATTTACCAACAAATTTGAGTTCAACAAATCGTTATTTATTTTCGACTAATTAATCTTTTTATCACCAGACGATAATGATAAGATTTAACCGAGTGCACAAACATAAAACCACAAATCCAGTGTTACAAACACGTGTTTAGACTAAGCACGACTTTCTTTCTATGCAGGTTTTGATAAGAAATTGTTTATGTTTTGACGGCAATACGACAGACGACCGACTTTTATTGACTATGTTTTTGAGTCCCAAAATATGTTGTTAGTGCCTAATATTTCTATATGTTGAATTCTTATATTTTAAGTCCACATATTTAAACTTCTAATCAGTAAGACTTGCACTTGAAAACTACATTGCACAATGGTTTAGAAATGTTTGTGTTTGGAAATAATCTAAATTTTATCAGTTTTCTTATTTTCTCTAAACAATTACAGAAATTTCTAAAACGGGGTAAATGTGTTTCAAAAAATGTGTTTTTTGATAAAAGTGTCCAACATTTTGGATATACATACATACATATTTAAGGAACTTATAGAGCTATGTATATAAATATGGTGCCATTATGGGGATTGGTGCTTTGCGTTTTTGTAATTTTTTAATCAAAGCTATTTCTTTAATTGATTAAGTTTCAATGAGACTTGTGGGGCCACCTCCGGCTTATATGTGTCAAATTTTAGTTTACATGCTTACACATTAGGTCCGTCCGTTCCACGATCACCTACAACTGTCAATCAATTCGAAACATGTATTTATACCTCTGTTATAAACATTTCAAGTCATTTTCGGAGAGCAATCTCAAATCCACCATCAAATAAGAAGTGGAAATCTTATTTGAGGGAATATTATCGCTGTATTCTATAATCGTAATTAATCTTGACAAGGTACTTTTTAAAAGTAGATCGAAATTTTACTTTATTACTATTCGTTTTTCTTAATAAATTTTATAAGCAGCTACTTATTTCAAATTAAAAAGAACAATCAGTTTTATTAACTCTATCACTTGCCGATAACTCATCTTCCTTTTCCACAATACAATAGATCACTTTATAAATCATTTTTCCAGCTGAGGATAAATCTTTATATTTGTTGACACAATCTTGCACCGAGAGTTTCATACAATCCATTTCTTTTTTATAAAAAGCATAAATCAATCGATCTACATTCAGTCCAGTGTCCTCGCTGTAAATATTCATACCCTTAGCTTTGCACAGGAAAAGATTGTGTACCTGTGTACTATCCTCGAACTGATGATATTTTACATCTTTATCATAATCGTTTTTTAGTTGATTTTCTTCGAGACATTTTTTTGCAATCTCATCAAGATTGTCAGGATACCAGTTTGGCTTTTCAGCATAAGTTGTCTGGAGAATGGGGAAAACCATTAAGTAATATAAAATGTTGCTTTCCAATTATATATCTTACCATAACTATTAAGCAGACAATTGGTAAAACAATTTTATTCATTTTAATTTTTAAATATGAATTGTAGTTCAATAAAATCTCGAATGTAAACTGACAAATATCGAGGAGTAGTTTAGCAATTTATAGAGAATACAAAATAAATTTAAATACTAATTAATTTATAGAAGGCAAAAGTCAAACGACTTATTAAATAGTGTGATAATTAGGAAAATCTATTGCTATGGGTTACTGATAAGAAATTACCGGCATCATTATCGCTAAATCCATTTAGTTAAAAAAAACTTTTTTTTTTGTTTTTCTTTAAAAATCTAGTAAATATTTTGTTTTTCCGAAACAGCAAAAGTTTTCAATCTTTTAATCTAAGTTTAATCTAACATTAGTTTGGGTTATTTTGTTTTACAGTTATTTAAGGTCAAAAGGTAATATCAGAGGAAAGCTTAAAGTGCCATTTAGAAGAAAAGCTTTTTATATCGGAAGTGATCTTATGCAGATATCGTACTAAAATTTAACATAGCCGGTGATAATTTTTCAACTTTATATATCTTCTTTAGAGATCTTACCCAAAAACAAAGAAAAATGTTCTAGATGTTTGATAACTGACAACAAATCTATTTTTCATATAAAGATTTGAGATTATCGCAAATTTCTTATCAATAAATTATTTTTATAGGTTATTTACAACATTCACCATCGTGAGAAGGTTAAGTTTGGCATTCCGTTTATAATGTTTACAATATAATTTTCCCACCCCATAAAGTATATATTCCAGATCCTTACAGAAAGCGGAACCAACTTAGCAATATTCACTATATATCCGTGCTATGCATGTTGTTGAAAAAATTTTCTGACATTTTTTCAAGAATTTCGGATATTCTTTGTAAAATTAAAAAAAAGATAAGAATTATTAAAATTTATTGTGGTGAAGAGTATATATGATTCGACATAGCCCAATTTAGCGTTGTGACTTGTTCACGTCGCGCTGTTTAATAAATCTATAAATTTTTCCAATATAAAAATTATTTGTATATTTTCTATAAATTATTACATTAATCTCAAGTATTTGTTAGTTTACGTTAGAAATTCGGTCAAACTTGATGTGCATATTTACAATTAAAAAAATGACTAAATTAATTTTTCTTATACTTTGCTGGACCTTATTGGTAAATTAAATCAATTTGATAATTTAATTTCAATTTACTTTAAATTTTCTTTATTCATCACAGTCTATTAGCGCTGAAAAACCCAGCTGGTTACCCGAAAATGCCGACGAAATACCAACGAAATGTTACGAAGAAAATCAACTAAAACCCTTCTTTGATAAAGATCTACCATATGATCAATTAGTGAATAATACAAAACTACACGATGTTCTCCTGTGCCAACTTAAAGGTTTTAATATTTATAGCGAGGACACGGGATTAAATGTAGATCGATTTCCTTATGCTTTTGGTTTAAATGAAATAAATTGTGTAAAATCCTTTGTGCAGGAATGTGTTGACAAACACAAAGCAGTAGCTTCAGCAGGAGAAATGATTTTTAAAGTGAGCCATTGCACTTGGGAAAAAATATCGGAGTATAAGAAGGGTGTTCATGTTAATACTGATGATTGTTAAAACTATTTCAAATTGGATGTTGATTATTCATTTGTATTGTACTTTGCGATCATTTATAGTTACTATAATAAATGTAATGAATAACTTAAAATAATACAGAAAGGGGTTTTCTTTCTACTAAAAGGTAACATTACAGTAAGTAACCAGAAAATAATTAGGAATTGTTTTCATTATCTATCTATCTATCTATCTATCTATCTATCTATCTATCTATCTATCTATCTATCTATCTATCTATCTATCTATCTATCTATCTATCTATCTATCTATCTATCTATCTATCTATCTATCTATCTATCTATCTATCTATCTATCTATCTATCTATCTATCTATCTATCTATCTATCTATCTATCTATCTATCTATCTATCTATCTATCTATCTATCTATCTATCTATCTATCTATCTATCTATCTATCTATCTATCTATCTATCTATCTATCTATCTATCTATCTATCTATCTATCTATCTATCTATCTATCTATCTATCTATCTATCTATCTATCTATCTATCTATCTATCTATCTATCTATCTATCTATCTATCTATCTATCTATCTATCTATCTATCTATCTATCTATCTATCTATCTATCTATCTATCTATCTATCTATCTATCTATCTATCTATCTATCTATCTATCTATCTATCTATCTATCTATCTATCTATCTATCTATCTATCTATCTATCTATCTATCTATCTATCTATCTATCTGTCTATCTATCTATCTATCTATCTATCTATCTATCTATCTATCTATCTATCTATCTATAATAAATAAAAAAAATATTTAATAATTTTCAGTATTTTTTATTGTAAATATTCAAGTTTAACCAGATTTCTAAAGAATACTTACAAATAATTCTAATTAAGATAAGAAATTTTCCATAATTGGAATTTTTATGCGTAAAACTTTATCATGTACACATTTCAATCGTTTTTAATTCTCTGTTTCGGGTCCTATGAAAAGATCTAAAATGCAATTTTTTATTTTAAGAATCTTTATATGTTTCCACACATTCGTTTGCCTTGCGTTTTATACGTTTCGTACTTGTTTTAAACATAAAATAAATCATTCGATCCACATTTAAACCCTCGTCCTCGTTGTAAAAATGGAAACCTTTGGCGTCACACAAGTAAGCTGCATGTACATTTGCATTATTATCTAACTGATCATACGTTAAATTATTTTCAAAGTCGGTTGACAATTTGTTTTCTTTAGCGCATTGTTTTTTTATTTCATCGCAGTTTTCGGGATACCAGTTTGGGTGCTCAGCTCACAGAGCCTTGTTATTAGAATGAAGTTAAAGTTAAATGAATATGGGGCTTTCAACTAATTGAGTTTATTTACCTACCATAAACATCCCGCAAATAATTAGAAAAATTATTTTGTGCATTTTAAATATTAAAGTTTATTTGTCAACTCTTCACTGTAGACTGATCGCTATATGGAAGTGTTTTAACAATTTGTAGAAGTAATTAAATCAATAATAAATTTTAAATATAAATATAACGTTAAGGGAAAAACAAAAAAATAAAACGCTATCAATTGGTTTTTGATTCTAAAAACAAATAGTTAAACAAAAAATAATATTCAAAATATACTTCAGGCTCAGCATTTTTCTGTTTCAAAACTCACGATACAATAAACAACTTTGAGAATTATTGCACCAACTGAAAGCATTGGTATTACAAAGAACCTCCTATTTTTGGCAATTTTTAAAAATGTGATTCCCAAGCTGGCCAACTTTGAGATAACGAATTACTTCCATAAATTAATGCATCATTATTCATGTCCTCTTATATTTCGTGATTTTCGGAAGACATATTTAACTTGTGATGGAGACTTGTGACTGAGTAAGTGCGATGAAAGTTGTCTCCATTTATACAAAAAGTAAAATAACCTTTGATTTCGGAAATCCTTCGGTATCTCGTGAACTTTTACAGATATTGTAACGAAATTTTACATAGTTCTTGAGATGTATATATCTTCTTTTGAGATCTAAGCCGTGAAACTCCATACTATACTGACAACAAATCTATTTTTCTTATAAAGATTTACGATAATCGCAAATTTCTTATCAATAAAATATTGTTATAGGTTATTTATAAAATTCACCTTCGTGGGAAAATTAAGTTTGTCATTGCGTTTGTAATATTTACAATATAATTCTCCCACCCTATAAAGTTAATATTCCAGATCCTTAAAGATAGCGGAATCGATTTAGCAATATCGCCTGTCTCTCCGTCTCACTGTATGTTTGTTGAAAACGATTTTCTGAAGAAAGGGAGTTCATGTTTATACTGATAATTGTTAATACTATTTGAATTTAGATGCTGATTATCATCAATAAACTTTAATTATCGTAAACAAATAAATAATTTAATATGGTTTTTTAATAAAAAATATATACAAAAATAATTTCTAAAACTATGTAATTTATTAGAGTATTCCTTATGCGATCGGTTTAGAGATTTCTCTACATTTCACATACATATAATTCAAAATTCAGTAAAACTACCTACATAACTATTTCCAGTATAATTTTTTTTCTTTAATATTAGTTTAGATTACAGTAAATAATCAGAAAATAATTTTAAAAATATTTTATAAAAAATATTTATTAAAAATCTAAACTTTATTACACTTTCGATAGAATTCTGTTACAGGCCCCGTAATTAGTAATTTTTAATTGCTTATATTCATTCCTTGTTTAACCAGATTTCTAAAGTATTCTTCCAGATATTTGAGATTAATTTAATAATTAACTACTAATTAAACAATGTGAATTCAAAAAAAATAAACATTTTTTTAATAAGAAATTTTCCAACAATTGGAAATTTTTTATATGTAAAACTTTAACATTTATTTGTAACGTTTTCAATCCTCCGTTTCCGGTCCTTTGAAAACTTCTAAAATGCAATAGTGTAATTTAAGGATCATTTCACCGGCTGAGGGTATTTCTTTATGTGTTTCCACACATTCCTTTGCCTTGCGATTTATACATTTTGTACTTGTTTTAAACAGAAAATAAATCATTCGATCCACATTTACACCCTCGTCCTCGCTGTAAAAATTGAAACCCTTGGCGGCACACAAGTAAGCTGCATGTGCATTTGTGTTATTTGCTAACTGATCATACGTTAATGTCATTCCAAAGTTCGGTGCTAATTGATTTTCTTCAGCGCATTGTTTTTTTATTTCATCGGCGTTTTCCGGATACCAGCTTGGGTGCTCAGCACACAAAGCCTTGTAATTAGAAAGAAGTTAAAGTTAAATGAATATGGGGTTTTCAACTAATTGAGTTTATTTACTTACCATAAACATCAAGCAAAAAATTAGAAAAATTATTTTGTACATTTTAAGTATTAAAGTTTATCTATCAACTTTTCACTGTAGACTGATCACTATATGGAAGTGTTTTAACAATTTATAGAAGTAATTAAATCAATAATAGATTTTAAACGACAACAGATTTATAGATTAAAATTAAATAAAAATATTTATTAAAAAAATATAAAGTCAAATGAAAAAACAAAAAAACCGTCATCAATTGGTTTTTTTAATCTGATTTGATTCAAATAATCACTTATATTTGTTTTCATTTCATTAAAAAGAAAACAAAAAGTTAAACAATAAATAATATATAAAATACACTTTATCAGCCTCAGCATTTTTCCGCTTCAAAACTCACGATACAATAAACTAATTTAAGAATTATTGCACCATTAGGAAACATTGGTGAAGTTGAAAATGTAAAATGGCGAACTATCCTTGTATATACAAGTTTTACATAATCCGGAAAGAGAACTGAATGCATACGCTTATAAAATAAAGTTTGGCTCATTTAAGCGGCAATGTCAACATCAGTCCCATCCAAACTTGTTCAATTTTGAAAAATGAAATGATTAGAGTATATTTCTACATATGTATATGGGCAATTTCGTGTCAACTGAACCAACTTTGGAAAGATTGAAAAAATTACTGTCTAAAATCGTTTGGAAATTTTTTGCTAAAACCAGATGATAAGTTACAGTCATTTGGAAAAACGCTGCATGGTCAAAATGTCTAACTTTGACCCCCTTTAACTCCGGCAGTTCTTTTTAAGTTGGGTCAATTGGTGTTATAGTCCTGCGCCCTGAAAAGGATAATTGTGTTTGGTGAGTCTAACCTTATTCCATCGGGTCTAAAATTGAATGAGAATAAGTTTTAAACCAATAGGATAATATGAATTTGTGGAAGAGTTTGATTAATTGGTTAAAATTTACCACTTTTTTGTTAACAAAAATATGGTAGATCTTCTCAAGGAGTAATTTTCTGCTAATTGTGATAATAAAGATAAAGATGACCAACTTTGAGGAACTTCAACCATGTGAAATTTCGATATCTCCAATAGTTCCAGAGATACCCGAAAAATGTTTCTAAACCACTTTGCATCATTACTCGCGTCCTCGTATAAATGGATTACTTGTTTTTGTCAGCACATTTCTGTGCTACGGATTTTTTACAATCCCTCTCTCTTTTATTAATACTACTATAGATCATTCGTTCTGTGTTTATACCAGTGTCCTAGCTGTAAAAATTTAAACATTAGCCACAGCGGGGAAAAGCTTCTTTTACATTTTTATTAGAGTTCAACTCAATAAACCCGGGTTCTAATTGATTTTCTTTATAACTATGATAGATTTAAATCTGTATAATTTTCTAGATTCCAGATTGATCTTTCAGCATTAATACCCTAGCGAATGGAAAGAATTTGAAGTAAAAAGTTTTCTTCTGTTCTAACAACTTAGTTTAATTTACCATAACTAATAACAGGCGTTTTTACAGGATTAATTAATAAAAAAAATAATTAATTATAGTTTTTAAACATTTATTAAGTAAAAAATATTTGAAACTCAGCATTTTCAATTGAACAATATATAAATACTATAAAAACTGTTATTGCGAAAACTCAAAATGTCGTTGGTTATACACCTTATTCTTCCTTCCACCTTAACAATTTACTTCACTTTCTGTTATCTTTTCTGTTATACATTTGAGCGTTTCTGAAATCATTTCGCCTTTCGATATGATTTCCTTGTGTTGATCAACACAATTCTGTACCAAGGGTTTTCCACAATCTGTTGATTCAAAAAAGCTATAAGTTAATCGTTCGACATTTAGACCAGTGTCCTCGCTGTAAATGTTTAAAGCCTTAGCACAGCACAGGTGATAAGCATGAAATTTCAAACGCAAACAACCAGGTCCTGACAAGGTTTCATTTCCACATTTTTTCATTAATTCTATATCATTATCGGGGAGCCAACTGGGTTTTTCGGCAGAAGTGGTCTGGCAAATTGTAGAATAAAAGGTAAAATAAAAATGGCATATACATATACTAAGATATAAAAATTAAATTTAGTTACCAATGCAGCCCAACAAAGAATTAAGAATATTATTCTATTCATAGTGTGAAGTTTGAATTACAATTTCGCAAATTTTACTGTGTACTTTTTGAGACGAGATTAAGTTATTTATAGAGAAAAATATCAATAAATAGATTTAATACTGAACCTAAACGCAACGTAATTAAATGCAAAACAAAATATTGATAAGAAATTAAAGGCAAAATGGAAAATTTGACGCGGCAATTCCTATGAGTAATAGTATAAACAAAATATGGGTTTTTGTAAAATTAATTAGACAATAATAATTTATAATATTTTTCCAAAAATTTTTTTTTATAACGACATTTGATTGTAGATTTGCTACAAAAATATTGGTCCTATATCCACCTTTGTATCACGCTCTGAGTCGATGAAGACTGTCTATGTAAACCAAGCTACCGGCCATAATTTTAAAGATATTTTGATAACATTTGGACCATACGTGTTTTTCGGTGCAAGGACGATGGTTGAAATCGGTCAATTATTTCATCTAGCCCCCATACAACCAGATCAGCAGTCCCCAGCTCCCATACAAACCCCCCTTTAAAAACTATCTTAAACGTCCATAATTGACTTTTTATAAACATACATCCCTCCTCACAATTTGTTGAGAATCGGCCCATATTTTACCCAAACCCCCATATAAAGCGCCTTTTAGAAATTTTGTTTTTCATCGATAAATTGATTAAATACATTGGTATTAAGGTAAAATCCAACATAAAAGTTCCTTTATGAAAAATAAATAATTTTTAAAATATATTCATGGTGTAAGATATCATATGGACGGCCATGCCCGATTATACTTTCCTACGTTTTCATTTATAAATTTAACAACCTAACCGAAATGACTGGAGAAAACGGTAACGATTATGAATATTAAACACAAATTATGCTAAATCCTCTTACATACAATATAATGGAACCCGGAATATACATATGTATCTACATAAGTACATAAGGGTGGCCCAGTTTTAATTATTTATATTAATTTTTAATTATTCAAAAAACAAGCGAGTCGCATTAGATCAGGGATATATTTTTATGTAAACTTATACAAAGAAAGTGAAACAGCTGTTTTTATCTAACTTTGTTATTGTTTTATACCAATCGTGTAAACACAAAAAATATAAATCATACGACTTTTATTCTCTTTTTTCTCATACGGATGGAATTTCATTTTACTTTTTCATTAGACTTTACGTACGTAAAGTGTGATCGTGTAAAGGGTCCTTTAAGGTTTTTCAAATTTTTTCCTGTTTCCAGTTTACGTTTTACCACTAGTAACGTAATCTGTCAAAATTGTGTGTAGAACGGATGGAAAATGTAATGAAACCATCAGACAGAGGTATTTAAGTCTAATTTCAAGCATCGCATTGCATATGACTTTACAAAAGTAATCTTCCTACTACTTCCTGAATTTAAAAAAATGCCAGCTTTCGAACTTTTTGTGATAAATTTTAATTATTTTGGCAGTATTCTATATATTTGTCAACATTCTTTGATATTGAAGTCCCTGTAAAACTTTCGAGAATGGTTTGAATTGCCAAATGTTGAAATATTGCTAGAAAATTCCCCAAAAATTAACCTAAAACTTTTTCGGCTCGAAATCTTATCAAAAATTAATTTTATTTTATTAATTTTATTATTAATTTTATTTATTATTTTATATTACTTATTATGAAATTTTTATTTTAATAATTATTTAATGACTTTTTAGTATTAAGCCATAAACAATAATTATTTAGGATAACTTGAAAAAATTATACACCCAACACTAAACAACAAATCACATCGACTTCAACAGTTGTCATCATGTTCATTTTTCTTATTTGATATGCATTTGGCCACTTCAAAAATCAATTCGCCTTTAGAGGTTAATTCCTTGTATTGGTCCGCGCAATTCTGGACCAAGGTTTTCTTGCAATCCACGTTATTGGTTGATGGAAAAAATGTATAAGTAAATCGTTCTATATTTAGACCCAAGTCATCACTGTAAATATTTAGACCTTTGGCAGTGCAAAGATAGAAAGCATGTAATTCTGGGCTATTAATTAACAAATAACCGGGTGTGTAATTGCTATCTTCCATACATTTTTTTATTATTTCTTCATCATTATCGGGATACCAATTGGGGTTTTCAGCAATAGTTATCTGTTAAGTAGATGGAATTTAATTAGAAAACAATTCTTAAGTTTTAATATTAATTTAACTTACCACCGCAGTCTAACAAAGAATTAAGAATATTAATTTAATCATGATTTTAACTTTAAAATTTCAGAATTTTTACTATGAACCGAACACTGCCTCAGATTAAATTAAACTATTTACCAGGGGAAAAATCAATATATAGACTTATATTTTATTGCTAGACCAGATATCAAAGTGTTAGAATGGAAATACTAAAACGTGGATTAGCTGATAAGAAATTTATATGTATTGTCTAAAGAAAATACAATAATTCCTATGAGTAATAATAAAAAACAATAAAAAAAAAAATTTGTATATCAATTTACAGAACATCTTAACAATCTTTACTAGTGTCTACGTGCAAAATAGTACAATGGATCACTTTTAGAATCATTTCTCCGGCAGCGTCGACGTCTTTAAATTTGTCAACACACTCCTGTGCTACGGGTTTTTTACAATCCCTCTCTCTTTTATAAATACTATAGACCATTCGTTCTATATCTATACCAGTGTCCTCGCTGTAAAAATTAAAACGTTTGCCATAGCAGAGAAAAGCTTCTTGTACATTTTTATTTGAAGTCAACTCATCGAATGTTGAAGAATCCGCAATAAACCCGGGTTCTAATTGATTTTCTTCATAACATTGATTATTTACTTCTGTATCATTTTCTGGATACCAGCTAGGTCTTTCAGCGTAAATTGCCTGGCAAAAGGAATGGAGTTAAAGTAAAACGATTCCTTTTTTTATTCTAACAATAATTTTGTTTAATTTACCATAATAAAGCCGCAAAAGATTGTGATAATTACTTTATTCATATTAACTATTGTATTTAATCTGATAAACTATCTATTGTGTACTAAATATTATCTCGTATAAGCTTAGTATTTTATAGTGAAAATAAAATCAACAAAATATAGCTGGAGAAAGAAATTATAGTCGGGCATTTCGGAAAATATGATACTCTACAACAATTATTTTCAGAAGACTTAATAGGATTTATAATAGATCAATTGAGACTTATTTTGAGAATTTTCGATTTGCAAATGCATACTTGATTTGAGATGAAAATAAGATTGATTTAAGAATTCAAAAGATTAATTTAATCATAAAATGGGCTTAATTTAAGCTCAATTCGTATTTGATTTCAGAAAATTTTAGCAACAAAGTTAATTACAACAAAAAATATACATACACATTAGCATTTCTACACACGGTGTCCTTATCAGGCATTGGAAGAGCAGTCTTTTTAATCGACACTTTCCCAATTTTGGACAGCACTGCTGTTCAGTCTTCTGGCGAGTGAATGATTTCCTCCTCGCTTTTAAGATTTGACTCCTCAAAATTACCAGTACTTGCTAATGATGCTTTGGGTACCGTCTTAGGTGTTTTAGTGTCCTTATCGGGGCCGGTTTTGACAGTGGTACCTTCCTCGCTTTAAGGATTCAACTCCTTAACGTTATCAGTAGTTGCTACTGATGCTGTGGTCTTAGGTTTTTTAGTGTCCTTTGTATAAAGTTTTATTAAAATATCTTTAAAATTGTGAAAAATGTTCAATATACATATGTACATATACACAGCAATAAATCAACTTAATTTAACGTAAAAGTCCAATAATTGAACCATGTGCTACTCATTATTAAAGTGTAGGGTAATATAAAAAATTTTAGAGAAGAAAAATTAAACAATTAACTATAAACGTGACTAAGTAAATTAGTAATAATAAATTAATAAATTACAATGTCTAACCCAATTAATCATAAACAACATTTTATTTTATAAATACAAAATTTTATTATAATAAAATTTTTTTTCCAAAAATATACAGATATTTATATTTAAATATGTAAAAATTTAAAATACACGTATAATTTCCAATTATACAATAAGTAGGTCCAGTGTCAAAGTTTGATCCATTCCCATAAAGACTTCCATGAGACCTTAACATTTTTCTTCATTTCCATTTTCCTTTTCTAACATGCATATTATCGTTTCAAAAATCATTTCGCCCTTTGAGGTTTTGTTTTTGTGTTGGTCGACACAGTTCTGCACCAAGTTTTTTTTACAAACTACTTTATTTGTTAATTTAAAATAACTATAAGTTAACCGGTCTACATTTAGACCCGAGTCCTCACTGTAAACGTTCAGAGCCTTGGCACTGCACAGGTAATGAGATGACATTGCTTCATCCAAACATTTATCTATTAACTCTTGGGCATTGTCGGGATACCAACTGGGCGAAAGTGATCTTTAAAATTATAGAATTAAAGGTATTTGATATTTAACATAAAAAGTTGAATTAACTTACCACCACAGCCCAACAAAGAATTAAGAATATAAATTTATTCATAATCTTAGTTTTGAATTAAAATATTGTAAATTTTACTTTGTACTTTCTGAGACCAGATTAAGCTATTTATAGAGAAATATACCAATAAATGGATTTAGTTTTAAACCTAAGTGCAATATAATTAAATGGAAAATACTCAATACTGATAACTTGATAAGAAATTTGATTTAGCGCAGTAATTCCTATGAATAATACTTATCAGGGTTTAACAAAATTGGTACAATTGTACTTTTCTTGGTATAATCCGATCCTCAAAAGTACAGTGGTATACAAATGACCCATTTCGTATAATTTTGAACTTATGTACTCATTGAAATAATACTTAATCTAAAATTGTAATTCTGAAATAAAATTCAAAGAACTACCGAATTTTTTAATAAACTTCAGTAGAAAAAAAAACTACAATTATTGTTTATATTCTCTTATATTTTCCAAAGAGAGTTCTTTTAAGCGCAAATTTTGAATAGACGTTAAAATTACCTTTTCTATGGTCTAGTATATTAACTAGTCTAGGAATTGGTTTTCGGACTATTATATTATGGACTATTCTATAGACTAGTCTATTGTCTAGTCTATAGACTATTCTTTTGTGTAGTTTAGTCTAGAGACTAGTATATTATGGACTATTCTATACACTAGGCTATTGTCTATTCTTTTGTGTAGTTTAGTCTAGAGACTACTCTCTTCTAGAGAGAAATCTATTGTCTAGTTTATAGACTACTCTCTTGACTAGTCCATAAAGACACAATAAACTGTAGACTAGTCTATTGATGATCCACGGTTTAAACATATGATCTGTTAATTTTGAAAGTGGTATAAGTCACCTTCCCAAAAGCGGCTTAGAATTATCTTAGTCGATTTACCTATGTCCATCTGTCTGTCCGTCCATCCATGTAAACCTTGTTTAAAATAATTTTCCACTTTTTTATGGCGACATCTGGTTGTGAAAGTATGAATTCGTTATAAGAGGTTGTTGGATTTGCTAAATTGAGTTGGAATTGCCAAACAAACAACCTAACCGTAACGGTTTAAAGACAACGGTAACGGTATGGATTTATTAATACTGTATGGTAGAATTTTCAAAAAAGTTTTAAAAATATTTAAAAAAAGTTATTTTTTTTTTTTAAATTTTATACTTGTTTGTAAATCGACTTTTATTATAATATCAACACGAAAAGAGTGATGTTTGGAAAGGATCTTCAACTGGATCTTTATTACAACCTCGTAAATGAGTGAGACAGAATAAACGAAAATTTAAATATCTGGGAAGTGATACTTTTTTTCTGAAAGGTAGACCAATAACCTATTTTTGAAATTTGTAAAACACCTCCAAAATCTTGAGATACGGGTAAAAAAACGGGTTTTTCGTACCTTTAAGCACTTATAAGTCAGTAACTTAGTTGAATCTGAACCGATTTTAAGTTTCTCATCGGATTTTGAAAGCAGAAGCTGAGATCTTTATAATGACATATATGATGTTTAAGTAACCTAGAGAAATATGTTTATTTCATGCGCAGACATGTTTTTTATTTTAGTTTTGCACTGTTTTCCAAGTATGGAGATGATTTTACAAACGCAACTTCTCTTTTTAAATTCCAGTGGCAATTGACGACGTTATTGATCTTTTTCTTAATACAAAATTGTTCAAAACCTGATTTTCTGAAATATGTTTTATATGGAGGATGGGGGCCGATCCTCATAAAATTAAGAGAATTATGGAATTAAAGTCATTTGATGAAGAAGGAGGATTTGCATAGGGAGTAGGGTCAAATAAGGTCCGATCAATAAAAAAATCGTTATAAATGAGTTTGCTGTAATCCTTCCACCAAATTTTTCGATGATTGGCCCATATTTAACACAGAAAGCATCTATCAGAAAATCAGTTTTTTAAAAATTTTGTATTAAGAAAAAAAAGAATAATGACGTTCATTAGCTAACGGGTTTTTAAAAACAATGTTGTGTTTTTTTTCATGAAGATACATAGTTTTCTATTAAATTTATAAATGGTACGGTTCCTATATAAAATACTTTGAAGAAACGTCTTCAAACTAAAGTCCTGACTCACATCAACATTAACAATTAACATTAATTGTCATCATGTTCATTTTTCTTATCTGATATGCATTTGACCACTTATAAAATCATGTAGCCTTTAATCAACTTTATTCAACTATCTATACTAATCTATACAGAAATAGGCGTAGAAATTAATATTGTTATGAGGTTTATTAGTTGTGCCCATGCGAATACGAATACATATCACTTATGTTAAACTTTCCTTTTTTAACAAACGGGGCATGGTCAAGTAAAGACCAAGCCACTACGAAATTATTTCGTAATATATACGCAATTGTACGAAATATTTTAATATAATGCAAAATAATTTTAGAAAAATTAAATTATATAAATTATAAATTTACATATGTAAAAATTTGTTTCGTTTTAAAAATTTATTAAAAAATCACTTACCTATGACAACCAGGATGCTATAGATAACGTACAACACCTGCAAATAAAATCAAAGAACAGAAAATTGAAACTTTAATAAAAAACACAGGATAACTGAAACAAGAAAACATAAAATTGTATCGATTATTGATTCCAATATCAGATTAATATTAATACTCTATAAATACTCTAAATAAAATAAATTCCTTTAAGATATATTGTACATAACTTCAAAAGAGAATTACAAGACACTATATACAAAAAAGAAAAAAACTCATATTACAAACGCCTTCTTGAAAAGTGAATACGTTATTAAAAATACAGTATTTAAACTGAAACTCTTGAAACAAGTCAATAATATGTAAAAAACTTTGGCAACACAAACGAAAAAAAAATGTATTTCTCTGCTGCTGTAACATGAAACCCACAAAACGATGTATACAAACACAACACAAGCAAACGGATACGGAATGTGTTTTTTAAAGGCTACAAACAGAAAAGGATAAAATACAAAACATTCACATTGACAACAATGTGACCAAGTGATTTGTTTTTTTTTTTTTTTTTTTTGCTCCTGTTCCTTTTTTGTACCCTAATAAGCCCTGAAAAAAAGAGGGGTGTAATTTCTTTGTAATTTGCCTCTTTTGAACAAATTAACGAGTACTTATATCATTATTTCAGTTATTTATAACAAATATAGTTTAGTTCTTTTTTTTTCATTCATTATGAATAAATAAGAGTGTCAAAAATATTGGCAAATAACAGTTTCCAATTACAATGTAGTACGTGAAGTGAGCTGAAGTAGTACTTATTCATTGTAATATTATTAGTAGTTTCTTTTTTTTTCTTGTTGCAATTGAGATGTTTTGTTAATTATATACAAATTTGTAATAAAAGAACAAAATATGCAGTTTTTTGTTATTGTACATCTTGTGTTATTGTTGTTGCTGCTTAAGTATAAACATTGTTTCCGATAAATATCATAATTTTTTGATGTTTGTTAAGAGTGTGAAAAGAGGAAAAGTGTAAAGGATGTCTAATTAATGCAATAACCCATCAAGCAGAAA